TTATCTTTCTCCCCCGCAGCACTAGACTCAGTTTGAGAGCCACAGTATTGGAAGAGACCTCAAACACCCTACAGTAAACCTCTCAGTTGATGGAATCTCTGTAGGACCACCTGGAATCTCTGTTTACATGCCTGCAAGTGGTGGACAGCTCATGTCCTCCCAGGTAGCCCACTCAGAAAGTTCTGTATTTTCTTTTGGCTCTGAGGTTTCATTCTTCTACCCCCAACACCCCTGTAAAGTTCAGAGGTATCAAAAGTTGGTCCACGCTGAGTCCTAATGGGGAAGGGAGGAGGTTGCATTACACAGAGAAGCTGATGTCACCAGAGCTAGCCTTTTAGCAAGTGCCTGCTGGAGGAGGCAGGAGCCCACACTAATTGGTTAAACAATCTCAAGAGGACAGGAGTGGCTGGAGCATTCACCAGCAGAGCCTCCTAAAACATTTAACAGCCAGAAACCTGCAACCAGTAAACAATGAGCCAAGAACTGTCCTAAGACTTCAATTACCACCTCTACGCTGACACTCCAAAATCTCTCTCCAGCTTCCTATCTCCTGAGCTGCAGACCCACATATCCAACAGCCTCCCAGACATTCCTGTCAAACCTGTTCCACCCTCTCTGTTTCCATCTCAGTGAACGGTACATCCTTCTATCCAGTCACCCAAACCTAAAATCCTCATGTCCCCCTGGGCACCTCCTCTTTCCTCCCCTCCTTCACCTCAATTAGTTTTTACAATTCTACCTCCCAAATGCCTCTCAAAGCCACCCACTTCTCTCCATCCTCACTGGGTCACTGTTCTGTCTAGCCTAGATTATTTCAATAGCTTCAAAACTGGTGTCCCTGCCTCCAGTCTCTCCCGCTTCTATCCTGTCTCCACAGTGCACCACAGTACTAGCTCCAGAGCACAAATGGGACAAAGCCCTTCCGCGGCTCCCTCGCCACTCTTAAGGATGAAGTCCACACTCCCCAGAAAGGCATACAGGCCCTGGGGGATCTGGCCCTCGCTTGCTTGCCTTTCTGGTCTCATTTATTACCCTTTCTCTCTCTTTGCTGTAGCTAAACTGATCTCTTTAAAGTTCCTCCAAAGTACTGGGTTCTCTTAACTTGCTTCCTGGCCTTTGTACATGCTATTCCCCTTTTAGAATACCGCTCCTTTCTTCACCTAGCTAATTCCTTCTGGTGATTCAATTTTGGGCTTAAATGTCGCCTTCTTTAAGAAGACTTCCTGCACCCCTAGACTGAGTTTAGTATCCCTTCAGTGCTTTCCTAGTACCTTACACTTACCCCATTTAATACTTATCACACTGATTCTACAAGGTATCACTCTTCCATTTGAAATGTTTACTATATGACAAACACCATAGCAAGCACTTTACATGGATTATCTCACTTAACCTTTGCAGTAACTCTAAGGTTGGTACTGTTATTACTCCATTTTAAAGGAGAAACCAAGCCTCAGACTTCTGCAAGAAACTTCTGCAAGAAAGTGGCAGAGCTGGGATTCAAGCTAAATCTATCTGGTCTCACAGACCAAGCTTTTAAGCATGGAAATCCACCATGCTGGCTCCCCAACAGGGTCAAAGGTGCTTGGGTTTTATTGTTCCAGCACTCAGTCCACACTAGAGTGCCTCTGGGCTGGAGGCAATGGAAAGTTACAGGACATTTTACTACTGACAATAGGCTGGAATCCTCCAGGACTGTGTACTGTGTTGTATATGAATGGGGGGACAGGGGAGAGTGGAGGACAGGCGCTGACCGAGCCTTTGGGTGCTTTAAAACAACCCACTTCCCTTCTTAGACACTCTGGACCAGGAGCTAGACAGGCAGGCAAGGGTATGGCAGGAAAAAAATATTTTTTTCTTTTTCTATTCCAGACATTCTCTTCATGCTCCTTTTCAATAATGCACCCCAAGCATAAGCCCGGGCAAAATGGCATGATAACAGCAATCACCCCATCAAGAGCTGCCACTACAGCTGAACACATACCATGAATTAGCAATGTGCTAAGTTCCCTGTAGGCTTTATCTCATTTCATCCTCACTTTAGTCATAAAGAAGCCTGGTGGCACAGTGGTTAAGAGCTAGGGCTGCTAACCGAAAGGTCAGCAGTTTGAATCTACCAAGTGCTCCTTGGAAACCCGATGGGGCAGTTCTACTCTGTCCTACAGGGCCACGACGAGTCGGAATCGACTTGACAGCAACAGGTTTGTTTTTTTTGGGTTTTCAGTTGTGTGGTCATTGTGTGTCATCAAGTGGATTCTGACTCCAAATGACCCTATTTGAGAGTAGAACTGCACGATAGGGTTTTCTAGACTGTAATCTTTGTGGGAGCAGATTGGCAGGTCTTTTCTCCTGCACAGCCTCTAGTGGGTTCAAATCACTGACCTTTGGGTTAGCAGCTGAGTGCTTAACCATTGTGCCACCACGGCTATGAACCACTTCTTTTTACTGGCGAGGAAACTGAGGCTCAGAGCCTTTACTTGGTTTGTCCAAGGGTCTAAAACTAGTAAGTAATAGGATGAGAATTCTAACCCAGTTAAGAATTCTGTCTAACTGCAAGCTCAGGCTCTTAATTTCTATATCACTGCTTCTAGGATGCATAAAGATTACCCAAAAAGCTTATTAAAATGCAGATTCCTGGGCCTTCCTTGGCACAGAACAGGCCTGAGGTGGGATTCAAAGGTGTGTTTTTTTTTTAACAAGCACCCAGGGGATTCTGATGCAGAAGATCAATCTCTGAGAAACCATGCACTATGGTAATGCTTTCCCAAACTGTGCTCCACAAGAACATCAGTGTCACAAAAAGTTAACTGGTATAAAAAAGCGGGGGAGGGAATGTTGCATAGTTAAGTAAGTTTGAAAAAAATACTACTATATTTTATCCATCTGGCAGATTTACAATGCACATTAGCAAATTAAGAATTCTGAGATGTCCTGTAGTGAACAGATTTTTTCAGCTGTATTTAACAGCGTACTTCCCAAACTTATTTAATTACAGAATTCTTCCCCTATTAACATTTCACAAGACTTAGCAAATAGAACGCAGCTTGGGAAACACTGCTAGGTTAAACTTCCTCCTAACCCCAGCCATGCTGGCCTCTCTCCTTCCTACCTCTGCTAAGGGTGCAATGAAAGGAGTTCTAGGCTCCAGCCCCGCACTCACCCTCACTTGCTACGTGTGGCCTTGGGCATATCACTTAGCCTCTTTGGACATGTTCCTCAGTTGTAAATTGGGAGTCATAATTCCTGCTAGCATGCCTATAGGGCTTTCATGACTGAGATAGCAGACGTTCAAATGTTAGGTAAACGGTACAGGGCTGCACTCCTTTGCAGGGTTCTTGCTACATCTTTTGTATGTGACGATACTCAGTCACCACTGTCTGTCAGTTTGTCATACTGTTGCATACTGCTATGATGCTGGAAGCTATGCCACCAGTATTTCATACCAACAGGGCCACCCATCGTGGACAGGTTTCAGCGGAGCTTCTAGACTAAGATAGACTAGGAAGAAAGGCATGGCGATCTACTTTCAGAAATTAGTCAATAAAAACCCTATGGATCACAACAGAATACTGTCCCCTATAGTGCTGAAGGAGCACTGATGGTGCAGTGGTTAAGAGCTCGGCTGCTAACCAAAAGGTTAACAGTTTGAATCCACCAACTACTCCTTGGAAACCCTATGGGGGAGTTTTACTGTGTCCTGTAGGGTCGCTATGAGTCGGAATCGACTCAACGGCAGCAGGTCGGGTTATAGTGCTGGAAGATAAGTCCCCTAGGTTAGAAGGCACTACATAACGGCCTCAACAATGGACTCAAACATACCAACGATCGTAAAGATTGTGCAGGCCAAGACTACATTTTGTTATGTTGTACATGGGGTCGCCATGAGTCAGAGCTGACAACATACTCATTTGAGTGCTCTGTAATACCCACTTGTTCTTTTCCCAATATTTCCTGCACGTGTTTTATTTCCTAAATTACTATGTGAACTTGGGCAACTCAAGACCCTTTTCGGGCTTCAGTTTCCTCCTCTGTAAAATGAGGGATTGAATGATATTTGAGGGCCCTCTCAGCACTGGCTTTCTAGGAATCTAGTAAAAATCATAATACTAAAAGGTAACACTACAGTCTTTGTACCAAACACTTTACAAGCATCATTTCATCACTATTCATAACAGCTCTATGAGGTAGACTTTATTATTTGGCCCTATTTTACAGAGGAAGAAACTTCAGCTCAGAAAAGCAAAATAATTTGCCACAGGTCTCAAAGCTATTTAAGTGACAGAGCTAAGATCTGAGTGTACTGTCTGATTCCAAATTGCACTTAACCACCACACTCTACTATCAGCAGAGAATTCTGGCCACAGAATCACCTTCTGGTGGTGTACTTGGCTGGATCAAGTTGGGAAAACAAGCGGGCAAGAGGTTATTTGCAGGCTGCCCCAGGTTCTGATCTCGGCTCTGCTGCTTCACTGCCTGGTGACTTGAGGTAAATTCTGTGCGTTTCTGGGTTTTACTTTTCTTATGTGTGAAACGGAGGTGTTGGACCAAGTACTTAAAACAAGCTCATTTGTGGAGCCTGCTAAAACCAATTTATCCTGAACATTCTGAGCAGTACGTCTGGGGTGTGTCCGGGAACGTATTTTTATCCGACGCCCAATGACAGCGACTGAACCAGTGCTCTACAAGTCCTGGTGACACCGCCCGGTACAACCGCTGGAGCCGTGAAAAGATGTAGGGTCCAGGACTGGCCCAGTCTGGATCTGTGGGATCCAATGCCCCCAAAGCCTTGCGTGCTCCACGTAAGAGTGTGCCCGACGCGACCTCCCGGACGCTCGGGCCTGAGTGACGTGGACAGGCGCAACTGACCGTCCCTTTTCCCTTCTCTGCCCCGCAAGGCTTCGCTGAAGCGAAACTCAGCGCGGGAAGGGCACGGAGAAAGGAGAAGAGAAAGAAGAGCAGGCGGGCTCGGGACGTGGATCCGCAGGCCCTCACACACTCACCTGCCCGTACGGATAGCTGGACATGGCGACTCTGATGTCACACGTCGGCGAGAGGCGGGGCCTCCCGTTCTCCAACCCACCTATCGCATGGGTCTGGGGGCGGGCCCGCTTCTGACTGGATGTCCGCGACTGTCAATCCGCGGGGCAGTCAGTCGGCGGCTGTGACACTATAGGATGAGTCAGAAGCTTCCCCCGAGAGGTCCGAGCAGCTAATGAGAGTGTAGAGGTTTTTGCAGATCTTGGTTGCTGTACTGGCGCGCCTGTTCTTCCTTTCCTAAACTAGAGTAGGCCTCATGGCTGGTCAGGCCTGGGTATTTAGTGAAGTCTGGGTGGGGTGTTGCTGCGGCGGCCATGTTATAATCTGGCAAATGGGACGCCTGATTGTGGCGTAGTTACTGTCGTCACTCCACGTTTCTGCCCGAGTAGGGCCCAGGCGGTTGCCGTGACAACGAGGAACCGACCGAGGCCTCTTAGGAAGGATGGAGGCGAATGGCGGAAGCGTTCTCTAATGTCAAGACACCCCGGTGCCAATCAGTAGCCATGGAGTGGGATACAGACCTGTAGTCTTTGGAGAAGAAAATTTCAAACCATTACACTGGGAGGAAAATTAGATTATCTTGTGACTTTAATAAATGGGGAAACTGAGGTCCAGAGAAGCAGTGATTGGCCCTAGTTCACAGTGGGTTAGTGACAGAGTGTGGCCTAGAACCGGCGTCAGTCGATGCCCGGTTCTCAGCAGGAGTTTTGACTGGCCCCCATGGTAGGTCAAATCCGGTTACTAAGTGACCTCACAGCACCATGTTCTGTGCCTCTTCCAGGAAGCCCTTAACCATAGTTCAGATTCTACACTTGTTTGTGTGCTTATTTGGTTAATTTGAGTTCTCTCATCTGGGCAAGAATTGTGTCTGTTTTTGCTCACCATTATGTCTCCACTCCAGTACCTAGCACAGTGCCTGACACAGTTTTTAATAAATGATTAAATTAGTGTTATGAGGTATTACCCAGTCCAGCCCAACTATCTAATCAGCCAGCCAGCACTGATTATGCTACTTTGCTGTTCAACAGGCTGCAATGACTCTTCATCCATGCATGTAAAATAAGGCCCGTTTCTTTATGCTGGCACTCCAGGCCCTTCACAGTCTGGCCCAAGGTCATCTTTCCAACATTATGTGTTACAGCCTCTATCTGTCTTCTGCTCTGTACCCCATTTGCTTGATCCCACCGTTCGTACTTTTACTTCGGAGTGAGGATCCTGGTTTTACCACTTTTTAACTTTATGGTCTTGGGCAAGTTTCTTAATCTCTCTGAGTCAGTTTCCTCAACTGATAGAAACATAAATATGTAAAGAGATTTGAAAAATAAGGTTACTGATCCTGCTATGTTCAGACCTATGTTCAAATCACTTCTTTCACCTGACCCAGCAGCCCTCCCATCTCCCAGTCCCCTCCTCCACGTAACCCTCCCACATTTCCTTCTGTTCCAGAGTTTGTCACTCTCTTGCCTGTCTCCCTTTGTACTTGGTACCGTCACTGTGCTAGATATCAGCTTGTCTGGTATAAGAATTCTCTTTGATTTTTCCCCCAAATCCCTTTCTCGCCTCATCTCAGAAAATTCACCCAGTTGCTCAGGTCGAATATTTAGGCTCGTTCTTGAGTGCTCTGTTTCGTCTCCCACCCGCCCCCCTCCATTTGCAGTAAAGATACCCACATCTGCCCTGCCCTTCCCTGTTTGCAGTATCACCCTAGTTTAAGAAGCCGTCATCTGTGGCCTGTATCTCTACAATATGCACTATTACCCTAGTTCAAGAAGCCATCATCTGTGGCCTGTACCTCTACAATAGCCTCCTGACCAGTGCCCCTGCTTTCACTCTTGCTCCCCCTCCCACTCTGTTCTTCATAGGGCAGCTAGAGTGATTATCTTAAAATGTTAATCAGATAATGTCATTCCTGGGTTTAAACTTCTCCAGCGGCTTCCTGTTACTCTTAACAATAAAATCTAAACTCATCCACGTGACCTTCACAGCCCTACAAGACCTAATAATAAAATCTAAATTCTTCCTTATGATTTTCATGGCACTACATAAACTAGACTGCCTGCGTCTCCGCTCTCACTTCCTTCTACTGCTGTCCTCGGTTAACTCCAGTCATAGTGCCTGCTCTTTAACCCTGGAACAGAGCAAGCTCATTCTTTGGATTAGCTCTGTCCTCTGTCTGGAATGCTCTTCCCTCAGCTCCTCACTGGCTGGGTCCTCCTTGTCATTCAGGTCTCATTTCAAATATTTCTTCCTTGGGGTGCATTCCTTGATACCTCATCTAAATAGCATACTCATACACACTCCAGTCAGCTATTATATCACTGTGTCTTATTTTTCTATGATGCTTGTCACTCTTTGAATTGTCCTCTTTAAGGTTTACATGTATATTTTAAGGTTTACGTGTATATTGTAGGATATTCCTTTTCTTACTCCTCTATCCCCAGCACCTAGAATAGTGTCTGGCATGAATTCAGTAAATGTTGGTGGTTATTATTATTATCATATGTCATGAATTAAATTACATCCCCCAAAAAATGTGTGTAACAGTTTGGCTGTCGTCCTCCATTTTGTGATTGTAATTTTATGTTAAAGAGGATTAGGGTGGGAATGTAACACCCTTACCCAAGTCACATCCCTGATCCAATGTAGTTTCCCTGGGGTGTGGCCTGCACCACAGAAGCCAGCAGAGAAGGGGAACCTCAGACCACCAAGAAAGCAGTGCCGGGAGCAAAGTGCATCCTTTGGACCCGGGGTCCCTGTGCAGAGAAGCTCCTAGTCCAGGGGAAGATTGATGAGAAGGCCGACAGAGAGAGAAAGCTTTCCCCTGGAACTGATGCCCTGAATTTGGACTTTTAGCCTACTTTACTGTGAAGAAATACATTTCTCTTTGTTAAGCCATCCATCCACTTGTGGTATTTCTGTTACAGCAGCACTAGATGACTAAGACATTATATACTGAGGGTTTATTAAGGTGCCAGACATTGTCCTAAGTACTACGTGTTCAATTTTCACCACAATCCTTTAAGATACAAACTACGACTCATTTAAAATGAGAAGCTGAGGCTGAGAGAAGCTAAGTGACTTCCTTGATATCAAACAGATATAAATGAAGAAATCATAATTTGAACCCAGGCCCATACCCTTTTAACTACTCAGTACTTGGTAGTTGATAAATCATGTTTTTTTTTTTTTACCTTCATAACCCTCTGAACCAAGAGCAGTCCAAAAAAATTTGTGGAATTGAATTGCAAAATCTCTGAAAGGAAGATGTCCTGATGTCTAGGCTGAAATTCAAGGGAACATTTGCTGAGAGAGAGAATAATGACACTTGACCTGCAAACTGGGGTCATGTGACATGCAGTCATTTATTCCACAAATATATGTACTTATTGAGTTCCCACCACTTGCCAGGCTTTGTTCTAGGCGCTGAGGATACAACTCCTATGGTTAGATAGCTGGGCTGGACTGAATAACACCTCATAACACTAATTTATTCATGTACGCCAACCCCTACCCCCCAGCTCCCTCTGCCCAGCAAAGACCTCTTAGGAGAACTTTCTGCTGGAGCTCTGTGTTATCTGTAGGCAGGGGCATGCGAGTCATCTCTCAGGTAGTTAGAGACCAGCCAAAGCCAGTGCTTCCAGGGCTGTGTCTCTGCAGACTCGAAGCAAGCTCAGATTGTGTTTATTTTGGAAAGGGCTAGATGTAAGGGAGACAAGGATCTCCCAAAGACTAAAAAACAATCAACTCGTTTCCAAAGCCTCCACTACCTGAGGCAGACAGAGGTGGGTGGGGAAGTTCCTGTTATTATTTCAGCTTTAGCCAAAGGGGAAAACTTGGATTCCAGCCTTTTTTAGAGCACAGAGCACTTTCCTGGGCTCATAGAAGCCCTGTGGTTGACCCATTAGAGGGGAGGCAGAGCTTGGTAATGGAAGGCTCATCCACCTGAAGATATTGCCTCCCCTGGAGACACATCACCCCCCCTGGCCTCCTGGCTCAGCTTCAAGCTCCAGTGTTGCTTACTAAGAAGGAATACCAACACCCACCAAATTATTATGGAATTAATTCCAGCTAGATCCAATTCCCAAATTTAAATTCCAGTTGGATGTTGTGGATCAGAGGGTGAGACGCAGCTTTCCACAGAACCAACAGAACAATGAGAACAGCAGATTTGGCAATTTGGCCACATTCTCCTTCCATTTTGGGATCATATGGAGAGTCCATTTATACATTCAAAAAAAGACCTACTCTTGCAAGAGGTTAACACACCACATGTGAAGAAAGAGTCTAAATAGAGTCTGTTGAATTCTGACGACAGGGGAAAATATCATGACAAGAAGCCAGATTTAAATTCCAAAAGGCATCAAATTTGAAATTTTTCTCTGCAGAACAAATATGCAGCAGCTTTCCTCCATCTTACAGAGCAGAGGGTCTGTTAAATTAAGGACCCTCCAATCCATTCATCATTCGTCACACTGCTGTCAGTGAGCTCACTATTAGGCAAACCTGACTCAGCACATCTTCACATAAAACCCATAGTGGCTTCCCACCATGTCCGCACTGCTCACGCTTCCAATTCCAATCATACCACATTGTCTGCAGTCCGTCTGCATGCTGGGCTCAATCATCTCTGAACCTTGGCACATGCTGTTCCCTCTGCCTGGATCGATCTCTCTTTCTCTCAGTCTAGACAAGGTTATGTCCCCCAGCTGTGTTCTCCCCTGGGACATGGTACTGTCCCATCATCCTACTTTATCGTAATTACCTGTTTAACTGTCTGCTCTCTCCCGTAGACACTGTGGGGACAGGGACCATATCCATCTTGTTTGCCTCTAAATCCCCAGAGTCTAGTACAGTTCCTGGCATGAAGTGGAAAGAGGAAATGGACTCATCAAGTTAGACTTTGCCAATCTGAATGATCTGTGTGTTGCCTTAAAAGCCTGGAACAGATTATGAATACATAAGAATAACGGGGGGTGGGGGTGGAGGGATAATGAGAAAGCTGCTGAAAAGAATTGGAAGGCAGGCACCCCTCCTTCCTTTCTCTTCAGCTTCCCCAGCTCCCAAACTTATGAGCAAGATCCACGGATTTTTTTGCTGACCATGGCAACAGAAGAGACTATAAAATTCAGCTTTCCATCTGGTTCTTCATGGTCCAAGAAAATACAGCAATTTCAAACTCCAGGGAGACAAGCACTCAAATCATGAAAGCTTAAACCTAGCCTGTCATAGAATCCCCTAAGAGCAGCATGAATTTGACCCAGGAAGAAAACTGGGGAGAGCATCATTTACTCTGTAAGGATTGACTCTCTGGTGGCCCTCCGAGGGGATGAGTTTGATCTTTTCTGATAGTGATTTTCCCCTCTGGCCTTCAAAGCCAACCTGCTCAGTGCAACAGCTGGTCCTTGCTTCCCTTCCTTTCTACTCCCGCCAACGTGCTCCTTATCATGAGGCCCATCATCGGTTAGCATGCTGTAGCCTGGGTTGAAAGTGGAAGCTGGCCTTCCAATGGGAGTGCTTTAACATCTGTCCTCACCCGCTATCCAAAACCTAACTGCTACTTCAGTGCAAAGATGATGTGCTTGCTTTTTAATATTTTATATTAGGACCAGGGTTAACTGAGAATTGCTGGTGAGGGATGAACTAAGAATTGACTCCTTTATCTAAAAACATCAGTGAGACATTCAGGCATGCTCAGGAGTCTGCCTGATTTCATTCCTCTGCCACGGGACACCTTGCTCCTGGCAGGAAAAAAAGAGGGCAAAGGTTCTGAAAAGCCAGCAATAGGCTGGGCTGCTGGTATTTGGGGCCCAACCAGAACAGGGAATTTTCAGAAATGTGCTGAAAATGCCAGCTCTGGAGAGATTTGACAGCTGGTTTGAAGCCTTCAGGCAGTTTGGATAAGCAAATGAAATTTGGGTGCATTTCTGAGCCTGCTCTGTGATCCCTTTGAAGTCTATCCAACTCAAATAATCCTTCCAGAAATCCAGGGCCAGTAAAAAGGCTTTCTTTGGAAGTCCCTCTGGATGTCTGCTGCTTTCTCATAGCCCATCAGGACAAGAGATCTGGAAAGTAGAGAGGGAAGAAGCTTGAGACAGAAAGTTCCTATAATATTCTATTTGTTGTCTTGGTTTTTTCTTCCCAGTCTTTATACAGATGGAAGAGACAGCAGATAGATCACCAAACTCCCAGGGGACTTGGGGGGCCAGGAGCTTAGATCTGATTGTGGCTCTGACCTGTTTGCACTGATGTCACCTTACTGGTTTCTGAAGGTCTAGCCTAAGATGTATAGGAAAAGCACCACACAAGTTAGAGTAACAAATAACAAAAGGTGCCATTTGCAGTCCAGAAAGTTATTGCCTGAAGCTGGAGAGCTGACAACAGGGCCAGGGATTGGTACAGGCAGGAGGTTCCATCTCATTTCCCGGAGAAGCATTCTCTTGTTGCCTCGGCCAGTGGCTGGAACCTATCTTTCCCCCTGTTTGCACAGACTCTCTAATCAAAGAATTACTGGAGCGTCAAGAAGAGACTGTGTGCTTGGAGGTGCTTCTAGGCAGAGTAACACACCTCAGCACTGGGGGTAGAATTCGCCAAGGTGCAACCTGGTTTGGCTTTGGGACACACATGTAAGAAGTCAAGAGGGTCGGCAGGTAGGGTAACAAACATTGGTTTCTCTAGGGAAGCAAATAGGGAGGGGCCTTTCTGAACTAGAAGTGGAGTCCTCAAACCTCCCTTTGGCTCACTTGCGGGGGCTGGGGGTAGGCTGAGTGATGCTCCCGCTCTAACTTGAGAGAAGTGTGCTGTGAAGGACAGGACACTAGGTCCCCAGGACCAAAGAATGAGTCGGAAGCATCTGGAGAGAGAGTTGAGCAGCACCTCACAACTTCATTGACAGACCACAGACAATGAGGGAAATGCCCTTGTTGACCCTGGGACCAAATGACAAAAGGAGAAGGAAGACAGGAGTTGCAGCTGCAGCCCCGGAGAAACTCCCCTGGAAGGGGGATTGCAGATAGTTTTTAGTTCTTTATTGTTAAAAAAATATTAACAGCAATTAAAAAATAAAAACATTCACAACTCATCACCGAGTCCTGGAAGCTCTGGCATTTGTTTTCAATGAAGTCCTTCAGCAAGTGGTGATTTTAGCCAAAAGGCCCCTTCATGTTTTTCATGGGTGGGTACTGCTGCTCCATTGGCATGACCCCAAAGCAGTCGGAGGGGTTACAGTGGCCGGTCTTGCCTGGCTGGCCCACGGGACCTGGGGGCCCAGGGATGCCAGGGATGCCTTGCTGGCCCATCGGTCCAGTTGGGCCTATCTTGCCATACCCTGGAGGACCTTGGGGACCTATGGAGGGAAGAGTCACAGAAGGAAAAACAGGAGACACATATCAGAAGAAATAATGGTCATAATACATACTGCCTTACATTTGATGAATATTTCTCAGGTTACAATGTGTTTTCATGAAAACCTGATCCGAGCTTCACGTTAATTCAACAATAGCAACAATACTACTGTTACTGTTGTTATTAGGTGTCCGAAACACTGCCTGGTCCTGCACTATACTCACAATCATTCCTATATTTGAGCCCATTTTTGCAGCCACTGTGTCAATCCACCCCGTTGAGGGTCTTCCTCTTTTTCACTGATCCTCTACTTTACCAAGCATGATGTCCTTCTCCAGGGACTGGTCCTTCCTGATAACCTGTTCAAAGTATGTGAGATGAAGTCTCGTCATCCTTGCTTCTAAGGAGTATTCTGGCTGTACTTCTTCCAAGACAGATCTGTTCGTTCTTCTGGCAGCCCATGGTATATTCAGTATTCTTCGCCAACACCGTAATTCAAAGGCATTAATTCTTCTTTGATCTTCTTCACTCATTGTCTAGCTTTTACATGAACATGAGGTGACTGAAAATGCCATGGCTTGGGTCAGGTGCACCCTAGTCCTCAAGGTGACATTCTTGCTTTTTAACACTTCAAAGAGGTCTTTTGCAGCAGATTTGCCCAATGCAATAGCTAGTATTATTGATAATGTCTATATGCCAGGCACTGGGATAAGTGCTTTTTTTAATGCATCTTTCACTCAAATTGTCACAACAATTCCCCGAGAAAGGAACTTTCATCCATTCTGTAGATGAAGACACAGGCTCAGAGAGGTCACACATCTGGTAAGTGGTGAAGCGGGTTCTCAGAGCCAGGTCATCAGGCTTTGGCCGTCGTCTTTTAGGTTATACCACCAAGCATGCATCTTAGACAGCCACTCTGAGGGGTTCAGTGACTTCCTCAACGCTACACAGCCAGATTCCAAGCAGGAATTGAACTTGTGTTCTCTGGCCCACACCCTGCCCAGCTCTCTTCCACTGTGTCATGCTAGCACAGCTTAGGACTTGAGGGCAAGGACTGGATCTTCCAATTTTTTCTTTCCCCCAAAGGTCCTAGCAGAATGTCTTGCACACAGCAAAATTACTATCAATGTTGTTGATTGGCCTGTAGTTGTTTGGGGTTCTACACAACTATATTGTAGATACAACATAAAGGGGGGGTTTCTGCTGCTCTGGATTTATTGCCTCAAATGCTGGCTTTTCTTACCTGGGGGGCCGGGGGGACCACTTTCTCCTGAGATGCCAACACCAATGTCTCCCTTTTCACCTTTGGTACCAGGAAATCCTGGGACAAGGGAAATAAAATAAGTTTTATTCCTGGGCAGAAAAATGACATACCCACTTGGATTATCTGAAACACACATACACAAATGCTATATTCACAACAGACTTCAGGTAATCTCATGCCTGCCCAAAGAGCTACGTGTGCCCCTTAGGGAGCCAGAAGGCAGAGGTACCTCTCATTCCTGGCAAACCCTGCCGTCCTTCTCTGCCAATCTGACCAGGGAGCCCAGGAGATCCTGGAGCGCCAGGCCGGCCTGGGGTGCCGTCCTTCCCTGGGGGCCCTGGTCGTCCCGGAGCTGCTACCATCTCCACAGGGAACTGCATCCTGGAGGTGTAGTAAGCCATCCTCTCTGTAAGAAAAGGCAAGAACAGATCACAGCGTTCCCCGAGGGACCCAGAATGACTTAAGATGCCTCAGACAGGCCACCAGCACGGAGCCCAAAGCAGCCTTTCTTCAGAGGGACATCAGGGCAAGGAATATGGGAGCCAATCTCCTCAGTGGTCTCCCGTGTCCTCGCCTCCACACTGCTTCTGACAGTGATCTTTTTGGAGCACAGCTCTGATTACGGCATCTCTCTTCTCAAACACCATTTATTGGTTCACCACCGGCTTCAGGATAAAGTCCAGAATGCCTGCCTAGCATTCAAGGTGCTTCCCAAGCTTGATGTTGAGCCCCTTCAGGACAGGGTCCATGTTATGCCAGTACTGCATCCCCAGCCCCCAGCACATCAAAGTGGGCTCAACAAATGCACAGAATGGTCTTACACGGAGAACACAGGAAAGAAGCTTTAAAAAGCCACCAACCATCCTACAGCTGCTGCTTGTCCCTCTAGTTAGGGCCCACTTCATGCTGCCTCTCGTGACGGTAATTTACCTGTCTGTCTCCTCTGCTTGAGTGGGGACTTAGGGCAGGCAGGAGGGAATCATTTTATCTCTGAACAGAGCAGGTGACAAGGAAGGTTTGAAGTATAATTGCACATATGCCTGCCAACCCCCAGGCTGTAAGTGTTGTTGGGAGTGGGCATTGAGCTTTAAGGAAAAGGAGGCCAGGGCAGGGTGGAGAAGCAGCTGGGAAGGGCAAGCGACACCCACTGCCACCCAGCTGGCTGCCAATTACCATCAAACATTTTAATGATCTCTTGTCTGATGAACCTCTTGATTTCATCGTAATTCACCACGTCTCCCTGAGGAAAGAGAAGAAAACCTGTCTCAATTATATTTCCAAGCCTGGGGCTTTCTACCTGGGAATAGACTTCCTTGGAAATAAAGGATGGGGAGGGGGCCTCATAGGGCCCCCCCTCCTGAAATGGCGCAAAAGATTTTGTATGTAAGTGCATCTTTCTGGGGACAGGGTCTCACAACCCCCCTCCCTGCCCTGCCACTCTCTCACACACAGTTAAGAACCGCCATTATGGGGATCATGCTCTTTCCTGCAGAATGTTAACAGGAGCTTCTGAAATGACCCGTGCTCCACCCCACAGGCCTGTCTGTAGACAGTGCCCATGGCTGCCAGCCTTCCCCCTTACCATGGAGCTGGGCACACCGGGCAATCCAGGGCTCCCCGCAGGCCCCGGAGATCCAGGGTGGCCTCTCTCTCCAGGAGGACCCGGTGGCCCAACAGGCCCCATGGCGCCACTCTTGCCGGTTCCCCCAGGCATTCCAGCTCTCCCCTTCTCTCCTGCCTGGCCCTTCTGTCCTGAAGGCCCCACATCACCCTGCAAGGACAAGAAGTCATAGTCCAGCATCGTCAAGTACTGTCAAGTCTACCTCATGATGTCTCGGCAATCTGTCCTTCCACAGCATCTCCCTCTGACTGGACCACAGCATCCTGATGGGCCACCCTGCCTCATTTCACTCCTACCATTCACCCTCTACATTGCCTCGGGGCAGTCCTTGTAGGAAACAGTTCTCATGGTGTTACTCCCTGCTTAGAAATTCTATGTCTCCCAACTGCCCTCAGGATAATGGCCTAATTCCTTGGTCAGGCATTTAAGACCATTCCTGATGTGGCTCTGAGCATATCTTCTCCAGCTTCAGGCCCCTGTCCTTATGCCTCCAGCCATACCTCACTGGTTATAATTCTCTGACTCTGCCATGATGTCTCAGTCCTCACTGCCTTCATACAAGAGGTTCCCTTGCCTGGGATGTCCTCCCCCACTTCTCTACCACAGCACACCTCCTACTCAGCTGCAACAGTCCTATTCTTACGCAGCCTCCCCTGATTCCCCAGGCTGAGCTGGGTACTCCTCGCCTCTGATCCCACAGTGTTGTCTAGTCCTCTTCTGTCAAACTCGACAGACTCTAGTGTAACTTGGACTGGACAGTAGTGAACACCTATTGGTCAGGGACTTCTATCTGTTTACCCAAGACCAGGACAGACGGCCTGGAATGTAACAAGATCAAGTGGATGCTCTTGGAATGAATAAATTAATGACTCAATGAATCAGTCAATTGATCAATGAGAGAATGAAGTAGAGACTTCCATTCCCCCAGCCACAGCTAAGAAGTCTGGAAGAGCCTCATGTGAGAAGTTTTCAGAGACAAGGCTGCTCCAAGTCCTGCCCACTGGCCTTTCTGTGTTTCCTCTCCAGGGGTAAAGTCATAGCTTGGAGCTAGACTTAATTCATGAGCTTCTCTCTCAAACCCAGGCAATGCCCACTCACCTTTGGACCTGGAGGTCCGTAGAGTCCCTGTTTTCCAGGGGGTCCCTAGAAGAAAGTAGAAGTCAGAGGTCAATGCAAAGTTGAGGGTCAAGTATAGGCACCATCTCTGAGCCATCCTGGGGAGGCAGGTGCAGTGGAAGGACCACCTTCACAGCCTCAGGCCCCCAGGCTGTGTCCAGCTGAGCTGTGACTGTGAGAAAGGATGACAGCCTCCCTCCAACAGAGGGGATGATAGCCTGCAAGGGAGAATGATGTCCCCTGGAAGATGGCCTTGTTTGATCATGTTGGCTGAGTTCCTTGTCACGGATGAAGGGAAGTGAGAAGAAGTCAGAATGAGAGGGTTGATCTGTGACATATTGGGGGGCCTGGAAAGAGCTGGTGCCCAGGAAATGTTTATTTGGAGTTTATCATTATTATAGTTTCTTCCGACCAGGTATATGGTAAAAAAAAAAAAAAAACAGATAAACTGAAAAACAAATCTTGTTCTCATCCTTGCCCCCTAGTTCCCGATTCCTTTCCCTAAGAACAACGAGGATTTCCAGTTTGCTGTATATCTGTCCAGAGATAGTCTGTGCATGCTGAATGGATAAAGAGGGGTCAGGGCAAGGTGGGGAACAAGAAGCAGCACCCTCAAGGGAAAGGGAGAAGCCCAGCACAACAGTACCTCTTTGCCAGCTTCACCATCTATGCCAGGTTCACCCTGTGGAGTGGAGAGAATGGGAGGTGTGATGAACTCCAGCCCACCTTGGGGTCACGTGCCTCACCTTGCCCCCGGGCACGCCCAGCCCCCTGCCGCACAAGGACCCACCGTCCTCCAGTCCTTACCCTGTGAGCACAGCCTGTGGAAACTTAGCCCCCAGCTCTAGCTCCACCTCACACCCCAGCCTGGTGCCAGAGCCCCAATGGATGGCTCCTGGCTGCCCCCAACTGTGAGTTCTATGAGGGAGGAGCAGACTGTGACCACCTGGCTCTGAGACCTGGGCATCTCACATGCCTCCTGGCTCTGCATATAGGTTGTGCTTGCTGAGTGAACGCATGAACTGTAAACAGGATGTCTCTGTCCTCCTGTGAGGTCCCGGAGATCGGCCAGGATGACCTAAGTGTGCTCCCTTTCCCAGGACAGGAGAGGCTGCCCCTTCTGCTGGGGTGCTGGGAAAGAGGATTCTATGACTGCATGGCATGGTAAAGTCATCCTGGGGCACTGGAGGCTCCTGAGCCTCCCAGAAAGGAGGGAGGAGGAGTAGAGGATCTGCCCAGGGCCCTTCGCAGGAATCAGAGTGAGGAGGAGTGGCGTGACTGGGACTTCCGGCAGAAGGGCTGACCGACCACCCCTATACCAGCTGGAGCCATTTATTCCATTCAGGCCACCAGCCCAGGGTCAGGCAAGGACCTCAGTCTTCGTTACCGGTCTCAGAAGACAGTCTGCTTTGGTGAAAGCACCCTGAACTGGGGGCTAGGAGACCTGGGACCCTGCATCAGCTCTCCCAGGAATCTTCCAGCCCTAAGAACTATCAGGTCCACCTGATGTGGTTTACCTGTCAGGAACTTTTGAAAGAGGTAGTATTGCAGAGTGGATACAAGGATACAAGTTCTGGAGTCAAGCAGACTGTGGACGTAGTCAGAGCTCGTCCACTCACTAGCTGTGTGACTCTGAGCAACCTATTTAATCTTGCTGAGCCTCAGTTTCCTCATTTGCAAAATGGGGACACTGAGACCTACTAAATAGGGTTGTTGCACAAATTAAATGACAAAATGCACGTTGAGCACTTAGCTCACTTACATCCAGCACATGGTCAGTGACCAATATATCATAGCTCTTAGTATTAAACATTAGCTGAGACCAGGAGTGCTTTCTGGGAAGCTGAGAAAGCTACAGCAGTAGGCTTCTGGTTCCTGACATTTACAAAAGTTGTCTGTGGTTACCAACAAGCTTCCCTGGGGAAGGGGCAGGGGCAGAACAGGGCCCAAGTCTCCTCTGTCCAATGAGGGATCAGCATAAGGCTGGAGTTGGTCCATCTCAGAGACAGTGATCTTGTGTGCAACTGGCCCAGTGCTGGCTTCAGGGCTTGTCTTTTCTTCCCAATACGATGTGGTCCTCAGCCACAAGCTCCATCCTGCCCTCTTGCCATGCTATTGGCCCCTGACTGCTTCTTCCTCCCTGGAGAGCCCAGATCTGCAGTGCTGAACGCAACTGGCAAAGCCAACTGACTCCTTCCCTGTGGAGCTGTGCCGTAGGATGCAGGGTCTTACCGGTGGGCCAGGGTGTCCAGGTGGGCCAGGCTGGCCCGGAATGCCTGCAAGGCCTCTTTCTCCAGTGGGTCCTCTGTCTCCTTTCATGCCCTAGAGAACATGAAGAGGGATGGTGAAGGGGAAGGAAAGAGGACAAGCAGGCCCCCACATAGCCAGAGGCAGACACCCTATCCTGTGCCAGGGACAATGTCCCCTATCTCCCAGGCCCCACAGGGGGAGGTGGCGCTATCTGAATTTGTGGCAGGGCCCTCGTGTGGTCTCCAGCCCTCTTTGAAGGCCTTCACCACATCCCGCTTGGGGAGATCTTTGGAGGCAGGAGCTGAGGCCAGGGGAGGAGGAGGATGGGACACAGTTCTCACTCTTCCTGCCTCTTGTGAAAGGATCCCACAGGAGACCACGGCAAAACTCCTGGGGCAGAGGGACAAGAGGAGCATGGCACTCACCACTGCTGAGATCCCAGATGGCCCTGGCAGGCCGGGAGGCCCCGGTGGCCCCTAAAGAGAGATGAGTCAATAGGATGGAAAAACACCTCCAGGGAGGCAGAGAGTGGCTGACAGCAGAAACAAGCCCTAAGCTTCAGCAGCTCCATTCTCTTCCCTGAGCCCTTCCTTCCCTTCTGGTCCTGCATTTGAGCTTCTGCCAGAAGGTTCATTCCCAGAGCCCCGGGCTGCAAGGTGCTGAGCACACAGAACCCTCACTCCTCCCACCTCCAGGGACCCGCTGAAGGGGTGATCTGGGAGCCACAGGCAGAGGCCAAGTGCAGACGGAGTTAACCAGGGGGCCTGGTGTCTTCTGAGGACTCCTGCTTTCTAAAGGCAGCCCCACTTCCTTCCCGTTCTGTGGGAGGAGCGAAGACCAGGAGCTGGGTCTGAGTAGTAGTGGAGTAAGGGGCAGGGGCTCAGCACCAACCCCAGTGTCCCCAAGAATCAGCTCTATAGCCTGGCACCAGGCCCTCTCCACTGGCCTCCTACTGCCCCCCTTACACTTGAGAGCAATGAGACTCCTTGTGGTTTGTTAAAACACCCAGGACAGCTCCCTCCCGCCCTACCTGGGCTGGGGCTGTCTGAAATGCCAGCCTCTCCCCATGGTCCACATTCTTGCCTTTAAGCCACAGCTCACAAGTCCCCTCCCTGGTCAGAGGTGACACCTTCTCTGAACCCCAGGGCATTCATCACTCTCTCAGAGCACTTCCCTCCATACTCCCAGAATGAAAGTTCTGGAAGCCATGAACTCTGTTCTACTCCTCTCAAGTCTCCTGGGGTGGAAAATTCCAGCACTGGGACAGCCAGAACAGAGAGAAGGAACCCTACACCATCTCAGCCCCAGCCTCCCATGAGCCTTCAATGAGGACACAGTTCAGAGTGTGTGGCCCTGAATACAACATTCCCTTTCGTCATCTGTAACCTGAGGGGCCAACTCAGGGCCTCTGGACCCTTTGAGATCTGTAAAAATAGTGACAGGGCCCTGAGAGTGTTACTTTTTGGTCATGAACTACTTTTAACATTTCAAAAAGCCTCCTGGAAATGGTAGAGCCAGCCACATGGGGCTGCAATAAGATGCCCGGGTGTTATTCAGCTCAGCACAGTCATACTGATCAAAGGCATCGATTGGCAGTCACCTGTGTTACTGGTGAGTAAAGTAGACAGGAAGTTCTTTATTGCTTAATAAATGTCCTCTCCAACTCACCCTATCTCAGTAAATGACACCACCCACTCAGCCAGTTGCCCAAGCCAAATGCAGGAGTTATCCCTGAGTTCTCTCTTTTTACCATCCCCCCTCCACCCGCCATCCAGGTCATTAGCAAGTCCTCTACCTCTAAATACATCCCGGACCTGTTCACTGCTCCCCGCTCCACTACAACCAAGCATCTGCTGCAGCAAAAGCCTCCTAGGTCATATCCCTGCTTCCAGCTGCGTGACCTCTCCCAAAGTCCTGACCACGCCTTCAGGGCTCCCCACAATCCCCATCACGTCCTTCTCTCTAAGCTCACCTTGCCCAGTCCCACTCCCGCCCTCTTGCACTATCCTCCAGCCACACACTGGTCTTCTTGGGGGTTCTGCAAGCACGCCAGGCTCCTCCCTGCCATAGGCTCTCTGTATCAGATGCTCCTCCGTGTGGAATACTCTCCCTCCAGACTGCTCAGTAGCTGGCTCCTTCTCGTCTTGCCTCAAATCAAATGTCACTTCTCCAGTAAGGGCTTCTCTAAAGTTGCCTCCCAGCCCCTCCCTGTAGTGTCACATCATTGCCTGATGCTTTTTGCGTTAATTTATTGGTTTGTTGTGCCCGCACAAAAGCTCTATGAGGTGGAGGGAACTTGTCTCCCTTGTTTGTGCTGTGGCCCCAGTGCCTGGAATCGTGCCTTGTATGGAGCAGGTGCTCAGGAAATACTTGTCGAGTGACTGAATGCCCCTTGTTGGGTAAGTAAACTCTAATGTGAGCAAAAAATAAGAAAATGGGGAAAAGTCACTGGATTAGTGAGCCCGGAGCCCCTTACAGAACTCCAAAGCCAGCATTGCTCCTGGGGTGGGTTCTTTGACCAGCTTGCCCACCACCATCCCACCCCAGCAGGATCCTAACTCTCAGAGACTAAAACAATTTAAAACAGTTTAACTCACAAGATGGCCTGGGGAGCCGGGTCTTCCCTGGGGTCCCATGGCACCAGGCTCACCCTGCAAGAGCCAAACAAAGAAAGGAATGACACAGACACAGACTTACTTGTGCACACGTGACTGTTAGGCAGGAGAGGGCTAAGCACAGCAGGTGGGAACCCCAAAGGCCAGAGAAGCCAGGTCAGGCCCTGGCCTCCAGAGTCCAGCCTCCCAGGGTTTGAGGGGCTGACCTTGCCCATGAGTATAGCTCTGCTTTTCTAGGTTGGTGACCCAACAGCCTCGAGGGAGGGTCACCCTTAAGAAGAGGAAGAAGGTTCAAGATGTGCAGTGTTGCGTGAAATGCCCCCAGAAGGCCGAGGAGAGAAGGCTCTTACCTCTGCTCCAGGCCGGCCACTGCTGCCAGGGGGACCTGGTTTTCCACAGTCACCCTAGAAGATAGAGGGGCAGCTAGAGCTCATCAGACCTCGACTTGGCACCCTCCACCCCAAGTTGACCCCATACTGGAGGGATCCTGCCATCTGCCCTAGCTCTGGCCAGAGGCCCTTTGATGCCCTTAGGCTAGTAGAGGGAGAAGCCCTGACCCAATATGCCAGGAACCGGTAGCTTCAGGAGGCTTGGATGCTGGGTCAGGTGGCACCTCCACCCAGGCTAGACTGCCAAGTCTGTCTGGGGTCAGGTCTCACAGACAGCAGAGAAAACCTGCTTGGCAGAAGCCACCAGGCCCTTACCTTAGGTCCTGGGAGGCCAGGATGTCCCGTTTTCCCTTTGAAGCCCTGGAAGAAAAAGCAGGGAACTGTCATGCTTTTCTGTCGCTCATCTCAACCAGGGGCTTCTCCCCACTCCTCCCTCCTCAGGTTAAACCAAAATCATAACATGATATCCATGGCGGATCTGCATTTGAGCTGCCCACCCACTCAGGCAGAGTCTGCAACTTCTCAGCCTTTGGGACCACCAAGCTCCCAGCTCCTTCCTACATCTCGACTTACCGGAGGTCCCATGAGTCCAGGGGGGCCAGGGAGACCAGGGTCCCCCTAGGAAAAGAGACCACAGGAATTGAGGTAGGATTCTCGTCCAGCTTGTACCCAACTCATTCGCTACTGCCTTGCCCTTTCTCCAACCCTCCTCCCCCAGCTACCCTGGGATGGAGGGACTGTCATGTGGGGCAGAGGGAAGAGTTCAAGACTGGCTCAGCCTCTGACTGGCTGTGGATGCTGGGTGAATCCTGACCCCATCCTGGGCCTTAGTTTTTCTTCTTTTGGGTACAGAAGGGGTTGAACTTGATGTTCTGCCCTTTGCCATGGCCCCATGCCTTTCAGATTCCACAGCAAAACCAGACCCCACAAGCCAGGGCTTGTTCAAGTCCTTCCATACCTGCAGCCTGATTCTTTCTGACACCCAGCCTAGTTTCTTTGGCTGCCTATATTTCTGGATATAAATTTATTCCCTTCGTGGTCCTGCCTTTGGTGAAGCCAGCACGTCCAACCAGGTTAAGGCTACCAGGAGAAGTGAGAAACCAAGGGGCTCGGGTGCCATCAGGGAGGTAGGGTGTGGTAGGAGGCAGATGGAGGGAAGGTGTGGGTACCCCCTGGCAAAGGGTGGGGGACACCTGAGTTCCCTTCATCAAGGTTCCTTTGACTTTGCTCCTGGAGAAGGAAGGGGGTGCCTGCCCTCCCCAGCTGTCATCTCACCCTCACGCCAGGCTTGCCGTCCTTCCCATCCAGGCCATCCAAGCCGGCAGGGCCCTGGAAGCAGGAAAAAGAATTTCTGCATGCCTGTGTTGGACCCCTAGGAAGTGGGAGGCATAACCCAGCCCCTCAGCTCTCTCCCCTTCTCACCCAACTCCCACCCTTACCAAATACACACATATGCACACACACACACATACTCATATGCCTGCCAGGCCAAGAGGGTCCACATTCACCTGAATCCCAGGAGGTCCTGGTGGCCCAGGGGAACCAGGCATGCCTGATGGGCCTGGAATTCCTTCGCTGCCCTGAAAAACAAACCCCCAACATAGTCAGTAGGGCCTTGCCAGAGGCTCTTGGCCAGAGGGAGGATGTCTGGTGACTACCAGAAGCCAGGACATCTGGCTTCTAACCCCAGTTCTGTCCTGGCCTAACTACGTAGATTCCACATACCCTCCCAAAGGATCTCTCTTCATCTGCAAAGGATCCCCCTTCCTGGCTACTCTGTGGGGAAGGACAGAGCCTATCCAGCCCAGCATCTTCTTCAGGACTGACCCAGGTACTGGCCCAGGGTGCTCAATGACATGTACTGAACTGAAAACACACATTCAATCCATACTGGTCCCAGCAATGTGACAAGCACTATGTGGGCTCTGACGTCCCCTAGAAGAATAAAGGGGGGAGCTGTTCTCCAGGAGTTCAGTCCTGTGAGGGTCCCAGGTCTACCCCAATCAAGGGCAATGTAACAGCCTATGTTGAATAAGGGGCTAGGTTAGGGAGTATCATAGAAGTGTCACCAGATGCTAGACTCTGAAGGATGTCTCAGATTTGGGCAGGTGAAGGAGAAAAGGGCATGCCAGAGGGAACCACAGAGAAAGGATAAAGGCTTGGAAGTAGTAACATGCCTGGCCTAGCCAGGGGGCCTGGGTGAGCCTATGTGAGAGGGTGGAGTGGGAGGGGAGGCTGGGGGAGTTAGAGACTGATTGGAAGGGGCTCTGAACACTGTGCTAAACTTTATTAAGCAGACCAGTGGTTTGAAAACTGTACTTCTCAGATCCCTGGGAGTTCCTGGAGGAGCCTTGAGGGCTGGGGATACAAAGTGAGGGCCCAGAAGGTAGGGCTCTAGGACCCCTACCCTTGCCTTAGCCAGAGTAGCTTCACTTATACCTGTTTTATAGATTGGGCTTTCACTTAAGCCTTTGTGTGAAGACAGGGCTCAGGACTACAAAATAAAGTCTGAAAGTCACTGCTATAGGCACTGGGGAGCCACTGAAGGTTCAAAGCAGAGGAGTGATGAGAGCAGACGTGTTAATTAGATTGTTCACTAGAGAAGGGAGGGGGAAGCAAGCAGGCCAGTGGAGAGGGCTGCTGCAGTCCCTCAGGGGGGAGAAGGTGGCTTCCCTTGAGCAATGGCTATGGAGTGGTTGAGGGGAAGAGAAGAGAGTAGAGACCCAGCAAAGGGGAAAAAGAACTCGGGGTGGGGGCATTGCAGTGCTACCTGTCACCGGGAGGGGTCAGCACAGCCCCAGGAAATGTCAGCCCCCACCAGGAGCTAGGGCTGAGAACCACTGGCCAGATGTTTGGGATCCTCCGCACTGACCAGCCTAAGGACAGCAGGTAGCAGTGGGGCACTGAGCCAGCTGGCTTTCTGGGGCCCAGTGAGCTCCAGCAGGGGCTGCCACCCAGGTCCACCATAGAGAAGGGAAGAGGCTGACACCCCCACTGCCTCCACTATGGCCCTGGCTCTGGGGAGGCAGTGAGGGGCCCTGGGGCTCTCCTGGGCTAGGAGGCAAGTCTCAGCTCTGCCGCTGACTGGATGTGCACTGTGGGCTGTCTCTGGCCTCTCTGGGCCTCAGTTTCCTCACCTGTACAATGAGAAGTCAGAGTAGGGTGGTCCTTCTACCTAGCACGTTCTAGCCCTGAAGCACTGTGCAGTGTGTGTTTTAGAGAAAAGAGGGTCTGGCCCCCACCCCCAACCCCCCCTCCCCCGAGGCTGCAGGCCTCCTGCCCATCTCTCTGGACCATGGTCAGAAGTCAGTCTTGGGAGCCTCTTATCCCTCCTCACCCATCACATCTGGGAAGCCAGAGGTTGGGCTGAGATGAGGATGTCAGCCCCAAATCAACGCAGAGCTGTCTCCAAAGTGCACCAAGCCAGACCCAGGGGCAGCCAGTCTGGGGCTCCTCAGACTGCTGCTCCTTCCCACCTTTGTCACCAGATCACAGGCCACCTCCTGCCCTCCCTGGGCGCTTGGGGACACCTGAGCATGGCCACCTTGGAGGTCCACTCCCCTTCCAGGCTGGCTTCCTCCACTGTTGTTAGACTCAGAAGGCAAATACCCAGAGTTCCTCCTGCTGTGGTGCATAGGGGGCTCCCAATTTCCATGGGCTTCCTCTTTCCTTCAACTCCTTGCCCTCCCCCTTGAGGTGAAGCTGGCCCGAGCTGGCCTGTCTGCATTGCATTCTAGTCATCCACCTCTCACTACACCCCTCTGCCTCTTCCCCACCCAACCTCCCTGCTTTTCGCCCTCCCCCAACAGACCGGGACCTCAGCTGCAGAGGCTGGCAAGAATCTTGGGCCCAGCTCCCATCCCTGGGAGCCCACTCGTCTGTCCAGCCCCTGCTGCTGCCCTGCAGTGGGCCCATCCTGAAGGTCTCTTTCCCCAGAGTTAGTCTTTGAATTCCCCAGAGGCCTGAGGCTAGGGGTGGGGCAGGGCTAAAGGGCTCAGATCACTGCACTTTGGCCAGCTTGGGGTCCTGCTTACCTTCTCCGCTTGGGGGCCAGGTAGGCCAGGTTCTCCAGCTTTGCCTGGGAGTCCAGGGGGACCCTATATCAACAGAGGAACAGGAAGGAATGAAAGTGGGCCTGGAAGGGGGAGTTCCCCCTTCTTTCTTCCTCCTGTTTGTGTTGTTAGTTGCCAGGGGGTCGATTCAGACTAACAGCAACCTCATGTGTGCAGAGTATAACTGCTCCATAGGGTTTTCAAGGCTGTGACCTGTCGGAAGCAGATTGCCAGGATTGACTTCTGAGGTGCCTATGGGTGGGTTCGAACCTCCAACTTTTCAACTAGTAGTTGAGAGATTAACCATTTGTGCCACCCAGGGACTCCCGTTTGTGTTAACGCTGTTGCTGATACAATGCATATTGGACTTCTTAGAAACACCACCAAGGAGAACTGGGTCTGGCTCCCTAGCCAGCTGGGTTGAGGCCCATACAGGAGGCCCTGCTCTCTAGGTCCTGGCTCCTGGAATCAGGCCTTGCCACCTAGGCCGTCCTCCCTGTTTCTTCCTTCCCCTCCCCAGGCCCATCCTCGCCCAGCCTGGCCTGGTCAGGCCTGCTCCTCCCCAGCAGGACTGCATCAGACAGGGCAGCCTTTGTGAATCCACTCACCGGCAGGCCTGGAAAGCCTGGCTGGCCTTGAAATCCCTATGGAAAGAAGCAAGCGACAGTTTACTATGCCATCCCCACTCTCCTGTCTGGCTGCCCAGGTGGAAAGAGTGACAGCGTGAGGCAGCCCCAAGTTCCAAGGGCCTGGGCAGGGAGGTAGCCCAGCCCTCCTCTCTGCCCAAGACGGATGGCAGGTAAGACTCTGGGCATGCAATAGGAGGTTACAACTCCAGGATGGGTGGGATGGAGAGGCTTGAACTGGTTACCCCTCCACAGGTACGGTGCCACCAGGGCAGAGGACCCAACCCCTTCCCTGCCTTCCCCAGCCATCTACTGTGGTCAGGACAGCCAACCAGTTCCAGTCACCCACTCACCTGGTCGCCCTTCTCTCCCAACTTGCCTTGGGGTCCTCTCTCTCCTCGGGGACCCTGTTACCGAGAGGACAACCAGCTAGAACCCATTCTTATCTCTCTCAGACTTTAGGGCAGGACCAGAAGACCTGTGTCCACAACTCCCTGTCTCGTCCCTCACTCACCGCTGGGCCTTGGGGACCTGGGATGCCTTCAGATCCTGGGGGGCCCTGGGGACACATAGGAGTAGAATTAGTCACTCTGGCTGGGGGAGTGGGACATGGGGGGATGGAGGAGCAGGGCACAGAGCAGGGGCAGGGGATGTGGCAGAGGCCCCTCTAAGTTGGCAGGATCCCTGCCCTGGTCTGTGCAGGCCTCGCCTCTCTTGCCTGAGCTACTGACCCAATCTTCCAAGGAGTCCCACCACTCCTAGCTCACTCCAATCCAGCCAGCAAACAGCTGCCATCTTCTCTTCCTCGGCACAGCTTTGATTATATCACTGTTTTGCTCAAAAACCTTCTACAGCCCCCTCCGTTAACTGAATGAGCGGCACGCTCTCCACCAAGGCTGGGTTCTGTTGTCTGTCACCAACCGTCCTTTCCTGTTTCGTGCCCGCCTCCCTTTCTTGTCTTCTGCCTTAATCTGCTCAGACTGCACTGTTCCCTGAACTTGCTCTACCCGTCCACACCTCGGAGCCTTTGCACGTGCTGCCCCTTCTATCTGGAGTGTTCCCCCACCATTCCGGGTCTCTTGAGACCTTACCAAATCATCAAGTGGCTCGGGCTGGTCCTGTGTGGTCTCTCCCTCTGGAATTCCCCAGGGCACACAACCACGGGGCTCCTCTCACTCAGTCTCAGCTCAGACTCCACCTCCTCAGATAGGCCTTCCTGACCCTCCATCTAAATAGCACCCTGCCCACAGCCCCAGTCCCTGACTCTCTCGCCTTCCTTCCCTGGACTTCTCCCTCATAATTCACGTGTACTTGTTTATCCATCTGCCACCTGCCTCCCCACCCTGGAATGTGAGCTCCTTGAGGGCAGGGGCTTGCCTGTGTTGTTCACCACAGTGTCTCCAGAACAGAGCCTGGCACCCAGCAGACCCACGAGAAACATTTGTTATTGAATAAATACATGACGGGGTTTGCCGGAAGCCACTGCTGCCTCACTGAAAGGTGAGACCAGTCCAAATCTGGCTGATCCCACATCTGAGATTCGTCACCTCAGACAAACCCAAGTTTGTCACCAGATGGACTTGGGTTCAAGTCCAGGCTCCACTACTAAGTAGCTATGGGACCCTGGGCGAGTCATGTCACTTCATAAGCCTTGGCGTCCTCATGTGATAACAACCCAGCTGCGCACTCAGCATGGGGCCTGGAACACACTACCAGTAAAGTGACCTTCCCAGGGGTGGAGGTTGTGAAGAGCCCTGTCAAGAGTCCAGCCCTGGCTCTCTCGCCCACCTGCCCGCCAGTTGGCTTTTGCAGGTGAGGAGAAGGTTCTCTGCCAGCTGACTCCCGGCCCCAATTCCCCTTGGCAGCTTAGGCTAGCCTGTCTCCATGAAACCTGCTGGGAGTCTCCTCACACCTTCCACCTCCGCAGCAACCAGCCTACGCTGACTGCTTGAGACGCAGCTGGAGCAACTCAGGGGGCAGGGGAAGCAGGGGCCATGGTCTCCTCCTTCACAGGCTGCTGGGAAAATCTCCAGTCTGGTGGTGGAGGCAGCAGGGAGGGGAACGGCTCCCTTTGAAGCCCTTCCTGCCACCCCCGTGCTGAGCTGCAACTCACCGATTCTCCCTTCTCTCCCACGGGCCCGGTGTAGCCCCGCTCCCCCTTGATGCCCTGAAAAGCAAGCAGAGAGAGAGAGCAGAATTAGCCCCGCGGCCTGCCCTTCAAGGCAGTAATGCGAGGGGTGGAGACTACAGCTGGCACCTAGGCTAGCACTTAGAGGCAGATGGCACCGAGGAAGCAGTTGGGAAGGAGCGAGGTGGGCTGCCCCAAGCACGCTGTTGTGGTCCCACCTGCCACCACCGTGCCTCAGTGGACGTAGAGGACACCCCCACCCAGCGGGCTCCTGCACAGGGATGGCACCTCTGCACTGTCTCCCCAACTCTGCCAACCCCCCATGAGGAGGCAGACTTTGGTTCTTGACGTATCTGGGCCTCTCGGGGTGCTCTGAGAGTAGCTGAAATAGGCCCCCCAAAGTGGAGTGGTGGGGCCAGGCCACGCTACCAAGGGGGCCCACATGTCCACAGGACAGGTGGCCAAGGCAAGGGCAAAAATGCTTGGAAAGCAGGGAGATGGGCTTGGAGGGTACCTGCTCATAAATGCCCAACCCTGGTCCTATCCTGATCACTGCCCCAAGGCTCTGATATCCCCAGGGCCAGGATCCCCTTACTCACTGGCAGTCCTGGGGGGCCCATGGCACCTGGGTAACCAGGCTGCCCTGGAGGACCCTGCAAAGAAAAACCAACATAATGGACCAGCCCCCACCCCCACCCCTACAACAGGTCTGTTCCCACCTCCTTGGGCAAAAGGATGCCACAGCCAGAAAATCGGGAGCTTCCACCCAGCAGGTGACCACCCACCCCAGAACAGCCACTGCGTTGGTCCGTTTCCCTAAGCCCCAGGTTTCTCAGCGGTGACCACCACCAGCAGGCCTGGGGCTGGTAGCAAGCACCAGCCTGACTGGTACCCTGGGAGCTGAGAAGAGAAGGCCAGGGTGTAGGATGAGGACCAGGGAGGAGGGGGTTGGAGGGGGTCGGAGGGGCAAGTGATCACTGCAGGAAGAGGGAAGGATAAAAGCCCCAGGTATGCTGGTGGAGGACAGGTGACATGGAGATTAGCCTCCTCTGATCCTGAAAGAATCAGAGGTGAGGGGCAGAGTGTCAGTAGAAGGAGTCCCTCCCATCTGTCACTCAGTGGCCGCCCTCATGGCCCAATGCCTGTCTCCCAGCGCTCTTCTTCTAGCTCCATTCCCACAGGCCTCTTCTTACCGGTTCTCCCTTTTCTCCTGTCAGGCCCCTGAGGCCTCGCTCTCCTTGAAGACCCTTGGAGAGAAAAATCATGAAAAACTGCAGGGAAGGCAGTCCCCACCCAGCCCCTGACTCCTTCCCCTTATCTGCAGCCCTCTGTTTCCACTCTAGGAAAAATATCGGTTGCTGGTGGCCCATAGGGTCCCCAGCAAGGTGACTGTAGGGGGTGTGCCCCAGAAGTGTGACTGTCAAGGTGTAAGTCCCCATACACGAATGCCTCTCAGGAGCATACTCCCCAGGTGATGTATGCCCCCAAGGTGGGTGACTCTCAGAGGGCACTTCTCAGGCAGGTGACTGTCATTGGCATGTCCTACAATGGTAACTGTCTGGGGTGCACCTATAAGAGGGTGACAGATGTGTGCTTCCCCTGAGCGGCAACTGTCAGGACAGGTGCCCCCAGAGTGATGTTCCCCAACAAAATGTATCACCAGATACCCGACACTTACCTGTCCAAGCCACCCCAAAACCAAAACACATCTTTGAGGAATGAAAGGAGAGACATGGGAGGGCTCCTCCCAGAGCGGTCCCTGCCACTTTGTAGGGGAGAGATCTCGGTCGCCGTCAGAGTCAGGGCTGCTGCCCTCAGCCCCTCACCCAGGCCTCGTCGTTTCACCACGCCATTAGAGCACCATGTCTATTACCCCTTCTCCCATGTGCCCTCAGGAGACGGTGCCCACACCCTTCCACAACACAAGACAGATGGCTAGACGGACAGATGGCCCCTTCACCCAAGCAAGCAGAAACAGACAAGGTCCCGCCAGAGATGAGGATGTGGGGACAGATGGAGCTGTGACAAGGAGGGGCCCTGCTCCCTGAGCCTCCATCACCAGGCCTGGGAGGAGAGGAGCCAGGCCCCAGGAACACGCAACCCGACAAACAGGAGGTTAGTTTCCACGACCCAGGAGGGAGCAACAATGAGGACGCGGGTGATTTAAACACACCTGTGACGACGACAAGGCAGAGCAATTAACGACACCTGGCAGAAGGAGCAGGCCAAGGCGCCGGGACACCCAGAAACCCCACGGGCTGATAGATATCACATCCCCAGCTTTGGAGCAGACTGGGACTGGAGCCAAGGAAAGGAAGAAGCTGAGAGTTTCCTCTAGGATGATGGGAAAGGTGTAGGCATGGCTGCCTTTAAGTCCCTGGGGTGCCTCTGGCCAGCCCTGCCAAGTAGCAGGGCACTGAACCTGTGCCAGCCTGCAATGTGAAGCCCTAAAGCTTTGGCATCTCTGCCGGGCTCTGGGCCAGGTGCCTGGCAGGGCCTCAAGAACTACTTTCAGCAAATCTTCAGTCAACACCAAAGGTGGGAGAAGCGGGAGGCAAAAGTGAGAAGGGGAGGAATAAAGGGGCCCCAAGAGGCACCGGCTTAAAATAAGATGGTAAGGTAGCTCGGGGGACTTAAGAGGAATGATGTGAGATTGTGGACTGGGGGAGAAAAGGGAAACCGAAGAGGGTAAAAGAGAGAAGATGAGAGGAAGAAAGCAGGAGAAGAGAGAGAGGAGGAAACAGAGAAGTCAGAGACTGGGAGAATGTCCAAGCTGCTGGGGCCTCAGGGAGCCTGTGTCGTTAGCTACCATGCCTGAAGGGGGACAAGGGTACACATGGAGGAGGGAGGCAGGGGCACAATAGGATGGAGACACGCAAAAGCCACAGAGACCTGGCTGGCGGGGGAAGGGAAGGAGCGCTAGGTTCTTACAGGCAATCCGGGGGAGCCAACGGCACCAGGAAAACCTGGGAGGCCCTGGTGGGAGAAACAGGCAGGTCACATCTCACAAGCACAGTAACCTGGGCGGTCTGGAGCTGGGGGTCATGGGGAGAGGAGGTCGTGGGAATATTTTCAACGCTGCTGGAAAAGATACTGGTTGATAGCTTGGCCTAGAAGACCTCTGCTCCTCCCCTTGGCTCCAGGAAGAATGGCTCCGCCAGCAGAGATGGAAAACACGCTTAGAGTCAGTCAGCCCTTCCCCAGGCTAGTGGAACACCCTCGCTGGAGTGGAAGCCCGTTTCTTTCTGTCCATCATGTCTGTCACCTGACCGCCATAAAAATGGCTCTAAGACAGCTCGCACCAGCCATTTTCTACAAAGAAGGCATTTTCAGCTCTTCCAATCTTTCCTAGTCATGTCCATTTTCCTGCCATATCAGCACCACAGAGCACTCCAGGGTAGATGCCCCTGGCCTGATGTTCCTGGTCTGGCCTTTGTAGACTTGTCCTAGAGCTGACCCTCCAAAGCAACAGAGAGCAGGTCAGTCTAAGCCCCTGGCCCCTGTAGGGACTGGTGTTATGGGGGGCATGAAGAGATCTGCTCTAACCTTCACTGTTCACTGCAAAGTCCACGTGCCTCCCTGGCTGCCGAGACCATGGGCCAGATGTCTAAGCCCTCCTGCCAAGGGCAGCCTGGGTCTATTGTGCAAAACACAGTAGGATTGTGGGAAAGCAGGTAAGAAAAGATCTGCCTCTGGGGGCCTCCCCTAAGCAGGACCACTGCTGGGCAGCAGGGCACAACAGACCAGTTCCAGAGGATTCATGGTGGAAGGGAGGAAGTTTCCTCCTTCTGCCTTGCCCAGCTTCCTGGGGACAAGGCAGGAGAATGGTGTCTGGGTGTTATGATCCCTTTGAGAGCTTCACAAGCAGGCCAGGGAACCACAGATACTTACAATAGGGCCTGGAGGACCTGGGGAGCCCCTCATGCCAGGCGGACCCTGCAAAGGAAGCCAAGGGAAATGGGATGAAAAGGCTCAGGTCCCACGGGGCCCCACAGTCTCAGCGGACATTCCTCCCTGCTCCCCCAACCAAAGTCAACAGAGGGCAGCTGACGTCAAAGCAGGACCATGGTGTTGAAATGGCCTTTCATTCAGCCATTCAACAAAACACTTATAGAGCAGCAATTATGTACCAGGTACTGGTCCAAGTGTTGGGGACACAGCTATAAACAAAACAGATAAGAACCCCTTCCTCATGGAGCTTACATTCTAGAGGGAGAGGTGGACAGTAACAAACAGAACAAGAACTGACACATAGTTGGTGCTCAACAGATACCCGTAGAATGTTCCAAGACTGAAGTCAATACACATGTCAGATGGTGATAGTGTGATGCAGGGAAGGGGGACTGGGAGGTCTGGGGTAGTTGTGGAGGGCCTAGTTTTTAAAAGGATCGGCAGGGAAGGCCTCCCTGAGAAGGCAACGTTTGAATAAAGAGCTGAAGAAGGAAAGAATGAGCCACAGAGAAGAGCATCCCAGGCAGAGGAAGCAGCTAGGCTGTGGGGAGGAAGAACAGCGAGGAGGCCAGCACAGCAGATGGGGTCAGAGTGGTAAGACCTTGGTGGCCACTAAAGCACTTCCAAGACAGGCGGGAGCCACTGCTGGAACCAAGCTGAGGTTTGGCAGGAATGAAATGGCTTTCAGGAAACTGACAGCTGTTAAGTGGAGGCAGCAGCCCCTCGGGGTCCTGCCTGGAGAGGGCCTTACCTCTTCCCCTCTCTGGCCTGGCAGTCCTGGAGGACCAGGTAGGCCGGGGCTCCCGACACAGTCTGGGTCTCCTTCGATGTTGTCCCCCTGGAGTGGGGATGGAGATGGTGAGAGTGAGCAGTAGGGCCCCTCCACATGGGGTCTAGGGCAGGGGCAAAGATGTTGTGAAGAGCCTACTCACCCGGGCCTCCTCAGCTCGTGGGCGTTCCCGCTCGATGAAGCACTGTAGAGGGCAGTGAGAGGCATTCTGTCAGGTCAGGGCAGCCAGGGAGCTCATCTGGCAAATGGCTGCCCCCAGCCCAGCCTCCTACCCGGGCGCAGTTGTCGAGGCCTGGCACACCGGGGATGCCCCGGTCTCCCTTCTCCCCTTTCTCCAGGATGGACACTGGTCCCTGGGCACAGTCCCCACAGATGGTCTGACGAGAGAAAGGGGAGGGCCGTGGGCATGGGTCAGAGAAGGCTAGGATGGGCGGGATGGGGGACCCTACTCAGACCCCAGAGCCGGGGACACCCTGCCTGGCAGTCCTCCCCTCCCCACCCACGTTCTCCCTCCCCAGCCCTGCAGCAGCCCTGCACCATCCTCGGGGTACTCAATCCCAACAACTGGCTTTGAGTTTTCTCCAAGAAGAAGTTTGGGTACAGCCAAGCCAAAGCCACTTTCCCAGACACACGTGTGGGAGGAGGCGGAGGGGCCTGCAGAGGGACCATCTGTCCCAGCTGTTCCTGCAACCTGCGCCCACTGTGAGGACAAGCAACGAGGAGCTGGGCTGGAAAGGTTGGCTCCAAACACCAGCTTCTCTGCCCAAGAGACATAGGAAACCGCTGCAGGAGGAGCCCAGCACTTTGCAGATGCTCCCTGGAATGGGGCCCGCCCTCCTTCCCCAGGGTAGACCCCAACTGCTCACAGCGACCCTGGTCAGCTGGGCCAGGACTCCTCTTTTCCAGGGTTTTAACCTTTGGGTCACAGACCCCTCAGAGTTTGATGGAAACAATGGGTCTTCTTCCCGAAAAAATAAAACCAACTAGTATACATTGGCCTACAGTTTCAGAGAAGTCAGGGAGCCTGGAGTCTATCCATGGATGGGCAGGGTGTCCATGGACCCATGGTGGGAACCATTGCTCTAACCTTCACTGTTCACTGCAAAGTCCAATGATAATGGCTGCCATTTACTTGGCACTCATGTGTCAGGCATTGAAATAGGCCCTTGTGCATTATCACATTAAACCCTGCCAACACAGCAAGGCAGGCAATCCTATAAAGATTCTGGGCATGAGAAAGTCGACATTCAAAGAGGTGATGTGACTTGTCAAGGGTGAGTGGGAGCCTGGATTGCCCCTGGTCTGTGAGGCCAAAGCTCACACTCTCTCCAAGAACCCAGGCTCCTTCAGGGCTAAGATGTGAATGCACGTGCTCGCTGGAGGCCCTGGTCAGCAGCCGCGTTGGCGCCATCTGACCTCTTCTCCAGACTGCACTCACTTCCTGTTTGGGGCCTTCTGCTGAGCCCTTGATTTAGAAGCCAACAGCTGAACTGCGCAGGGAGAAATGTCAATTCTGCAGCTGCAGTCAAACAGGGCTTGGGAGAGCCCAGGCTTGGCAGAGCCTAGGGAAGAAGAGCTGGGTTTTTTCGCAATGACCCCACTGTGACCCATCATGTAACTGCTGCCAGGAGGTTAACCCGACCTCAGGCTGCTTCTGGAAACACCTGCTGTTCAGAGCAGGAGCAGGGCAGGCAGTCCCCATAATCTACCCTGACTAGGACCCATTGGGATAGTGGGATGTCCACAGCACTGACTAGCCAGTGCCAGAAGAGTGTGGCCAGGTCAGGAGGGCTCTGGGGACTACAACATGAGAGGGACCCCGAGGATGCTGAGCTGCAACAGAGAGGAGTCCAGGGACATGAGGGTATTTGGAGGAGGCCTGAGGGGTTACTGTGCTCTCATCTCTAGAGGTGAATGATTGAGGAGGAACTATGTGGCCCTTGGTCAGGGAGGGTCCCCAGGGAAATCCCTGCCTAGCTTGGGAGGACAGACCAGGCCACGGCCCTCTCATCTGGCCCTGATGCTGTCTGTAGGTCCTGGCATAGGCCGACTCTCCCACCAGGCCCCAAGTCTGCTTTTCATACCACTAAAATTGCTATTCAAATCCCATCTCTCCCCGTATTCTTTCTGGACTGACCAGAGATGGGCTGAAGCCTTCTTCCAGAACCCCACCCAGTCTCATCATAGAAGAAACCTTCACAGCCCCTACCCTATCCCCCTACGGCTGCATTTGCACCCTCACCCCTCTGCTTTGGAAGCTGCTGAACCCTGTCTGGCCTGACCAGGGTGGTACGGGGGCCCCACTTCTGGCCTGATCTTCTACAGGCCTCGCACCCAGCCGCTGTGGGCCATTTTTAGGGCTGGCTTTTGCTGACAGTGTCCACCACTTGGGTACCTTCGCAGGATCGTTCAGACACTCAGTCAGCAGATATCGAGTGAGGGTCTGTTATGGGCCAGGCTCTGTGCTAGGTCCTCTTAGGTAGAGGCTTGTGAGCTCTCTGTAGGTGCCACACAGCTGAGCACTTACACTGAGAATCCCTGTAGGAGACTCCTCCCTCCCAGTTCCTACCCCCTTCTCTCTCACCCTCTTACCTTAAGGAGTTGCTGTTCAATTGGCAAGGATCCCTGAAAGAGACAGACACCTGGGCTCAGGCAGTTGAGTGGAAGAGGAGAAGGGAGACCTATGGGATCAGGGAGAGCCTTGGGAAGCATCCTGCCATCCTGGCTTCTCTCAGCTTCAGGAGACAGAGAGACAAGGGGACCCCACTGTAGCTAAAGGATCTGCGAGGCAAGCGCAGCCCTGGGAAGGGCAGGGAGGGGGACAGACGGTGAGGCCTGGCCTGTACCTACCAATTCTGCAGCCAGCCCAGGCTGTCCCGGCAAACCGTTGTTTCCAGGCACTCCCTGCAGCCAAAGATAGAGTGAGTGGACTCCTCTCTCTAGCCCACTGGTCACCCTACATCCTTCTCATCATCCCTGCTGCCTTTCCCCCTCAGCCTGCATTGCTGAGAGCCTTGCCAGGCACAAGACGGACATCTGGTCTTAGCCCAAAAGCCTCCAGACCCTTGGAAGGGGGGAAGTCAAGGAGGCCCAGGGGGTGACTCCCAAAACTAGTCCTACAGGGAGTTTTTTCCCCCACAGGTCAGGGGAAGCTCAGAAATTGGGCAGCGGGTCTTCCATATAGTAAGTAACTATTGTTTCTTTGTGTACACAGGGCTTTTCCTGTATGTTGTTATCTCCATCTTCAAATGGAAAAAAAGAACTCAGAGAGGATAAGTAACTTGCCAAAGTTCGCAGGAAGCGCCAAGCACAGAGCTAAGATTCAGAGTGAGGACCAGCGGCTTCCAACCCTTCTCCTAACCACTATTTCAGCCTCATTCTCCAGAACACTTGTGCACACAGCAAGGGTGGATGCTTGGAAGTCACATCCATCGAGCTGCAAAACCTGACTACTTGTATAACATTAGGAGTAGCTGGGTGAAGCAAACAGTTAATGCACTTGGATGCTAACCAAAAGGTTGAAGGTTCTAATCCACCCAGAGGTGCCTCAAAAGAAAGGCCTGGCAATCTACTTCCAAAAGTTCACAGCCATTGAAAACCCTATGGAGTGCAGTTCTACTCTAACACATGTGGGGTCACTGTGAGTCGGAATTGACTCGACAGTAACTGGTGGTGGTGGTGGTATAACATTTGGCAGGTTACTTTAAAAAAATCAGTGCCTCAGTTTCCTGATCTGCCAAACTGGGAATATTTATCCTGGGGCTTAAAGGAGATAATGACTGTAAGAAGCTTAGTACAGAGCCTGGCACCCAGGATGCTCACGTTAAATGTTTGCATGCAGACTCTCTCTTCCCCTTGGAGATTCACAATGGCATTTGCATATTAAATACTACTCTGTAGAGGCAGGGAGTGTGTCACATTTTAAATCCCGTTGCTCGACATGGAGGAGGAACACATTAAATACGCGTGGAGTGAATGCTCCGCTGCTCCCCCTGCTCTGCCTGTAGAAGATTCCTTGGCTTGCTCAGAGATCTGGCCTCCCTTCAAGCCCCAGCTCCCCGCAACAGAACGCATCACCCCCCACCACCACCAGCCCTCTCGATTTCAGGCTGGAAACTCCCAGGCCTGAATCAGCCCTTCAGTCAGCCCCGACCCTGCTGCCCCCTGCACCCCTACGTGCCGTCACCCAGCTTTGCACATTCTGTCCTAAATGAGTTACGAGGTGTAATGTGCTTAGAACAGTGCCTGGCATGGGGAAAGCACCTTGAAAGTATTCCTTATCATTGTTGCTGCTGTTAGCTGCTGTCAAGTGGATTCCCACTCATGGTGACCCCGTGTGTTACCGAGTAGAACTGTAATAGGGTTTTCTTGGCTGTAATCTAATGGAAGCAGATTTCCAGGCCTTTTCTTTGGTGGTACTCCTAAACCAAAAAAAAAACCAAACCCACTGCTGTCAAGTTGATGCTGACTCATAGCAACCCTATAGGGCAGAGTAGAACTGCCCCATAGGGTTTCCAATGAGCAGCTGGTGGATTTGAACTGCCGGCCTTTTCATTAGCAGCTGAACACGTAACCACTGCGTCACCAGGGCTCCATGGTACTCCTAGGTGGATTCAAAACACTAACCTCATTATTCAGCCCCCTGCTCCACTCTCCACTGCCGTTGTGTTAATTCAAACCTCATACTTTGTGTTTCTTTCCTGCCCTCCCAGAACTATATGCCCCACCTGTTCTGTTGTAGAAACAGGGCTTCAAACCAGTCAGAACCCATACAGTCATGGGTGACGAAGTGAAATTGAAACAGACCCAAATTTTTACAATTTGGGTGATCTGCAAGGAGAAAAACTACAGCTTGAAGCCCTGGAATAGGAGACTTGCAAGAGGTGTAGTTAGCCCTTTCTGGAGCCTGATACATGGGACTGGATTACTGGCAGGACTGCGGAGAGCAATCCACATTCAAAGCTGCTCGGTCAGCAGTCATCTTTGAGTGGGACACCACGGTTTCCCACTCTGCCCAAAATCCAACGGACAAGAGATTTGGTTGCTATGCAATGCATATGCTGTCCTTGTTTTCTAAGAGGGAAATTAAGTTTCTAGCAGGGCTTCGACTCATTCTTCTGGTGTATCTAAATTCTAAAAATTTGGGTCTGTTCTGGTGTCGCTTCTTTGGCCATCACTGAACCAGGAAGAACTGGTTCAAAGCCCTGTGTAGAAGTGAAGAGTGTAGGGGCTGGATTTAAATCCCTTGAATTTAAACTGAAGCTCAACTGCCTACTAGCTATATAGCCTCAGGCAAGTTTCTTAATCTCTGTGCCTCAGTTTCCTCATCTGTGAAATGGATGAGGATTAAATAAGGTGACAGAGAATTGGGACTATGTGACATGACCTTGGGGAAGTAAATACTGTATATCTCAGAACCTGTTTCTCCTACCGAGAGAGGAGGTGCATTCCCTCTGCAGACAGACTCCTGTTTCCTGGCAGTACCATAGGATGCCAAGGAACACTCAGCAAAGGCATGGCTGGTCCATGGGGAACAAAGACTGTGCTCTAGTTCAGGGTTCCCGACGAACAGAGAGAGGCTCCCATCAGCAATGGTGGCTTACCAGAACAGATCTCAGCCCAAGGTGGCAGGGCAGGATCTGCCTGGGGTGTGGGTGGAACACATAAAATCTTTGGGGCAGAGGACAGTTGTCTATAAAAAGCTTCCTTGTGATTCTGCTCTGCTTCCTTCTGCCTCTTTTCAGGTGAGAATCACTTCCAGGAGCTGAGAGCCCAACACCCGGAAGCTACTATCTGTGCTTCCCAAGACCTCTGGAAAATGTGGCCTGGTATGCCAATATTAGGGAAGTCCTGAAAGGCAGTGGAGGGGAGCAGAAGTGCTCTGCATGGGGAAGCTCCCATCCAGCACTGCCACTTCTTAGCCAGATGAACTTGGACAAGATACTTCAACTCCCAGAGCCTCAGTTTGTCCAGCTGTGACCTAGGGATAACATCGCCTTCCTACTGAGGTTTATATAAGGCTCAAATGAATGAGAGAATGGATGTAAAACAATAATAGTAGTAGTAGTAATGACGGCTAATGCTTTCTAAGTACTTACTATATGCCAGGCAGAGTTCTATGTACTTTGCATATATCAACTCATTTAATACTCACAAAAGCCCTATGAAGTAGGTACTGTAATTATCTTCATTTAACAAATAAAGGAACTGAGACATAGAGGGGTTAAGTAACTTGTCCAACATCACACATCTAGCACATGGCAGACCCAGGAGTCAAATTCAACTCTCCTAGCTTTAGAATCCAGGCTCTAATCACAGTGCCATACTGATCTCAACATCTACTCCTCTCCCCTCACTATCTCTGGCCTCCTTGCTATTCCTCAAACACAGCAGACACATTCCCATCTCCAGGCCTTTGCACCTGCTGTTTTCTCTGCCAGGAATACTTTCCTTCCAGATACTCACAAGGCTCACTCCTCATTTCCTTTCAAGTCTTGATTCAAGTGTCACTTTCTTGCCCTCAAATCTCATCTTTCTTGCCCTCCTCCCATTTTTATCCCCCTTCCCTGCTGAAATTTCTCCTTAGTACGTATCACTTTCGAACATACTATGCATTTTATTTATCAGTCTTGTTTATTGTCTGTCTCTCCTACTGGAATGCATACTCCAAGAGAGCAGGAATGTCTACCTGTTTGGGCCACTGCTATATCCCCAGAACCTAATGCAGTGCCTGGAAAACAGCAGATATGCCAAGATATTTGTTGCACAACTGCAAGCTGAAGGTTGCTCCCAAACTGTACAGCTCTATGTAACGGATTTTTATCCGACCCAGATTCTGGATTCCCGACAGCTGGCCAAGGCCTGAGCTTGACACTGTCAGTGGGGTGCATCTACTAGCGCATGACAGGGCTTCCTCGAAAAGGGGCTGGGGGTGCACACAGTCTGCTCTAAGGGGCCACAGTCTCCTCCGGGTCACCCTGGGAAGCAGGAGCCCAGGGAGTGAGAAACGGTGCATGGGGGTGGTTGAGCAGGAGAACAGCATCCTTGGGCCCAGCTGGGAGGAGTCCCCTGACCACATGAGCCTCTCTGACTCCCAAACGTCTTATTCTCTTCTCCCTTTACCTGCAGCCCAGGCACTCCAGGGGGGCCTGGTGGTCCGGGAACACCCGGGGGACCCTGAGGGAGAAAAGGAAGAATCAGACCCAGATGAGAACTCTGCCCTGTTGCTGGGCAGCGGAGTAGGATGGGCAAGCCGCGGGGCACTGGCGGACGGAGAGGAGAGGCGGAGGAGACAAGCGACACACACCTGCGGGCCTGGCTGCCAGGAGCTGCCCATCCAAAGTCCCGGAGCACCCTGGGTGGGAGTGGGGGTCGCAAAAGAAGGGGAGAGGTTATAGGCAACATCCACACCAAGCGCAGAGCTGCATGGGAAGGCGGTCGGCTGGGGCGCAAAGCCCTGCAGGGCCCTTGGCACAGTGGGCATGAGGCGGGAAGCCAGACCTCTCCCCCGGGCCGGGGGTAGAACTCTCGGTACTACTTACCGGCATGCCAGAGAAGATGGGGTCTCCCCGAGCGGGGCAGGAGCACTCCCCTGGCTCACCCTGAAAAGACAACAGCCTTTGTTAGAGAGTGGGAGAGAGTAGCCTGTAGAGGATTTGCCCCTGGGCAATCTGCTCAACCACTCTGAACCTCAGCCTCTTCATCTGTGAAATGGGGAAAATAATACCAAACGCACAGACTGTCGTGAGGATGAAATGGATTGATGTATCTAAAACTCCCACCATATGGTAAGCACTCAGCAAAAGACAGTTCCTGCCATTACTGTCGTTTTCTGTTATAACCTCGTCTGCTTCTGCACAGGGATTCTGGCATCCAGGACGGTCGCAGCTCGACCCAGCTGCAGCCCGTCTTCCCTTGGCCCAGCCTGGCTTCCATGCCCTTCTCTCCCAGCCCTTCATCTCTCTGCTCTCAGCGCCAGTCCTTCCCAACTCAGTTCCTGTCCCTGTGTCTGGCTCACCCCCATTTAAGCAGCTGCCCTCATGGAGGCCTTGGAGCTCTCTGGGTCTCCTGTTATCCTGGTTGAGCCCTGGGCCAGCAACCATGCAAAGAGGGACTTTTAGGGACCCTGCTCCCTGGAAGCGAGGGACTGGTGGGTGGTAAGGGGGCCAGGATGGCTCCTCAGCTCCTGTCCCCCAGCCCAGGGCAGCTAGCTAGCATGTGCATGCCCCCTGGCCTAAGTTCCCCAAGGTGGTGGGGCTGTCGGGGCTGCTAATTCCCCCAGCGTTTTAGTCCCAGCTCCTAGGGACTCACCTTCTCTCCCTGAGATCCCTTTTCACCCTACAGGGAGGAAACACAGGGAGGTGAGTGGAGAGGGGTGCTGAGACAGGGACAGCTGTGGCTTCCGGCTGCCCCAAGACACTGTACTCACTGGCATCCCTCTGGCTCCTGGAAGCCCGCTCTGTCCTTGCTGCCCATCATGGCCCTGAAGGAAAGAGCCCGGGGTCAGTAGGTGAGGATGGACAGCAGCTAGCCATCTGGCCTGCCTGCAGAGAAGGGCGGTAGGACAAACAGAAGCAGTCCCAGGCCCTTCTGGAGCTCGAGTCCCATGCCCATGTTCTGGAGGAGAAGACTGAGCACAAGAGGCAAGAGGAGGATGGAAGGAAGACAAAGACTGACATTTCCTCAGTCCTTGTGAGTGCAGACACTGGCCAAGTACCTATCAGAGAGCACTGGATGGAATCCCCACTCCCAGCCCTGCAGAGCAGTGTTGTTCTGTTTTACAGGTGAGGAAACTGAGGCTTAAAGAAATTCTATAATAGGCCCAAGAACACAACCGCACCGAGGTATGTTCAGCCCCAAAGTCCCTCCTCTCTCCTCTCTACCTCCAGCAGCCACTTGACACACATCCTTTCTGTCACAAAAGTTACCCCAGTTGACTTAACTGGGAAGTAGGAATTTCAGTCCCTGTTATACAAGGAATCAGAGACTCTGAGGTATCACTTGGCTAAGGTCACACAAGTAATGAGCATGGGACTGGGTTGGAAGGCCTCCTGGGTCAGATTCATCTTGAGGAAAGAAGGTCTGGAGAGCATTCCTGGAGGGGGCAGCTTGAGCAAAGGCATAAAATCTGCTCAGGCCTAGAGGGCAGGAATGGGGGCATGGAGGGCATTCTGAGGACTGCCTTCCTGTGGGACACTCCACTTTCTTACTGGGAGGACCAGGACCACATCTCTGCCTTTACTCTGGGGCTCCTGGGGACAGCAGGGATCCTGACTGTCCAGCTCTGCTGGTGAAACGGACTGGCTGTGTGGGCTTCAGCAATCCCCTACCCCCTTGGCACACCCTTGTAAGGAAACCATGAGTGATTCCCAAAGCAACTGGAATTTCTCTAGGCATCCCTAAGGATAGAAAAGCATATGGTTCACTGGACGATTTTCAACCTCACCAAAAGTCCAAGAAAAATTATACATTTGCTTATGACCCAGCAGGCACAGGCTGACTGAAAGGTAGAATTTCTTTGATTTCGTCTAGAATTATATCATCTTGTAAAATTTGAGTGGGTTCATGTGGCGCAGAAGCTGACTCTTATATGGGTCTTTGATAAACAGAGATGAGGAAATGCATTTATTATTACTTAATCTATGCAATCTGTTCAATAGACACATCCATGAGAATCACTGGGTGGGGACAGTAATAAAGAAGAGGTCTTTGAGGGCAATGAGGGTAGAAGCTGCTGATCTAGATCTACGCTGTCCAGTGTGGTAGCCATTAGCCACATGTGGCTATTTAAACTTAAAGTAATGAAAATTAAATGAAATTAAAAACTCAGTTCCCCAGTTGCACCAGCCCCATTCCAAGTGCTCGATAGCCGTGTGTGTCTAGTGGTTACCACTCTGGATGGCACAGAATAGAGTTTTTCCATCATCATAGATAGTTCTACTGGGCAGCACTGGTGTAGCTGATCCCTAAGGACACGAAGGTTGAAGGGGGAAGGTGGTTAACATACAGGCTTTGAGTCAGACAGACCTGGGTTCGAGTCCTGGCTCTGCCTCCTCACTGTCTGGGCATCAGTTTCCTTATCTATGCAATGGGAACAATAATAGTACTCCCCTACAGTGCTGTTGTGAGGATTAAGTGAATTGCTGTGTATTTAGAGCTTAGCATACGGCCTTGGCACAGCTATTGGTCAAAATGCTGGCAGTGATCATTACTGCTATTATGATTATTCATGTGCTCCCCCCCATACAGCACAGACCTCCCTCCTCTGAGGCTGGGCAGAGCTGAGGCCACTCTTCTCCCTGTGTCCTCCTCCCAGCACTGTCCTTAGGGAGAGCCTCCCTCCACAAGGAGCAGGGAGCACAGAGAGGACCCTTACCGGAGGCCCAGAGACACTGGTACCAGGAGGTCCTGCAGGTCCAGTGGCTCCATTCACCCCCGGAGGTCCCTGTGGATGAGGGACACAAATTTGAAGCTGGCTACAGTCCAGCAGGTGGGACGCATCAGACCAGGCTTTGGGCAGCCCTCTAGCCGGCACCACTCAGCTCCTGTGTCTTCTGCACCCCCCACCAGTGTCCTCTGAGGCACTGCAAGCCCAGTGCCCAAGGAGGCAGAGGCTCACCTTGGCACCCTTCCCTCCAGTGGGGCCAGGTGGTCCCCGAGGTCCCGGAAGCCCCTGCAGATGGAAGCACAGTTAGTTATCCCTTATCCTAGAGTGGCCCCCTCTTGTCCCCAATCCACCTCCAGGTCCAAGGCAGACATACCTGAATGCCAGGTAAACCTGGGGCTCCAGGCTCCCCCTGCAAGTCAGAAAGGGAAGACTGGGGCACAGCGGCCTGGCCGACCTGGTCTGGGTTGGGGCATCTGCCAACCCAAACTCAGGAGAACTCCCTAAGGTGATCCTAAGGGCCAGAGAGGCAGGAAAGGGGACAAAGCCAAGGTCCCCGACAGAAGCAATGGCAGAGCAGGGCTGCCACCCAACCCCTCCCTGAAGCTGTGCCCATGAGCATCTGGGGCAGTCAGAGCTCTGTGGTCTTTGGAGCACATAAGCGTGGCAGCTAGCTAATGGCGGGGGTGGGGGGAGGGCAGGCAAAGGTAAGGCTGGAGACTCACCTGGGGCCCCTGGACTCCCAGTCCTGAAGGCCCTGGCTCTCCCTGAAGAGGCAGAAAGACAAACGCTGGCTCCAGGTTCCCCTCCCACCCCTTGTCTCCTCTCCCGTCCTCTCCCTAGCCCCTTCTTCTTACCCTCCTCCTTCCACCGCCACCCTCTCCTGACCCTATAGCTCATTTACATTTCCCACTCCAAGCCCACTGCCCCCATCTCCCCACCCCACCCTCTCCCACACATACCTGCAGCCCAGTCCCCATATTCACACCTACCTGTGTCCCCTTCAGTCCTGGGGGCCCCTGAACTCCCGGTAGACCAGGCTGGCCCTAAAAAGCACAAGGCAGCCCGTGGAGTCCCCACAGGGGTAAGGGAGGAGGGCAGGAGGAGAAGGCAAAGGCCAGGCAGGGAAGGGCTAGGGGACAGGCAGCCAAACTCACCGGTTTACCAGGCCTGCCCACGCCTTCAGGGCCCGGCTCTCCTTTGGGGCCTGGCTTCCCAGGCAGTCCGGCCATGTTGGTCATCACCCCCTGCAGGCTGGGGCAGGCAGTGCAGCCATCACCCTGGGCAGAAATGGGCACGGCCCGGAGCGTGTGAGTGGAGCTGGCAGCCGTGCCAGGAGGAGGCATCAGAAAGCGGTCTTTGTCCCTTCCAAGAGCTGTGCCCCTCTGCTACCCCCACCTCATCCTGGGAAATCAAAACAGGCTCTTGTGCTCCTAGCTCTCCTCCTCCCTGCCTCAGAGAAGAGCTGAGGAGCCTTTGCCCAGTGATCCTGGCATCCTCTAAGGCTCACAGCCCGAGCCCGTTCCTGACCCCACAGTCCTTCCTCTTGTGAGCGCTCCACCTTACTTCTTTTGATGCATGCAGCAAGCTGCTCTGTGCCTGACTGACCTTTTCTCCTTTTGGCCCTGTGGGGCCCCGGACCCCAGGTTCTCCAGACAGTCCCGGCTGCCCTGTGATGCCCGGTATTCCAGGGTCTCCTGGATTCCCAGCATCACCCTGTAAGGAGCAGGGGTCAAGGAGGGCAGAGGCAGCCCAGCTGAGGGCAGGTTGTCCTCTTGGGTCCTGCAGGCACTCACAGCCCTTCTCTGGGGCTGAGAGCTGGGGCTGGGAAGGGAGTGGGGAGTGGGCTCTGGAGAGGGAGCCGAGAGGAGGTGGTTGGGACAGTCCACCCAGGGGCCCACCGAGGCTCTCTCACCTTCTGCCCCTTCATTCCTCGCTCTCCAGCCTTGCCCTGAGGAGAAAATATTTCTATGAATGCATTCTTTCATACCAGACACCCCTAACTGCCTGGCACTGTTCTAGACCCAGGGGATACAACAGTAGACAAAACAAGACAAAAACCTCTGCTCACAGCCTACTGGAGCAGTATTGCACAGGTTAAGGGAGTAGACGCCATCCAGACTCCCTGCCTGGGTGACCCTGGGCAAGTTGCTTCACCTCTCTGCGCCTCAGTTTCCACATGTGTCAAAGGGGAATGATATAAATAGTACAAAGTTCTAGCCCATAGGGTTCTTGTGAAGGTTAGACAAGCTAATATATGTGAAGCAATGCTTGGCATGTAGTATGTGTTGTATCAGTGTCCGCTGTTGTTATTAAAGCAATAACAGTAATAACCACAGTGGCAGCTACCATCTCCTGAATGCCTACTGTGTGCTGCCAAGTGCTTCACATGCACCTTTACTGAGTTTTATAACAACACAATGTGTAGGAAACGGAGGCTCCAAGAAGAGAAATAAATTGTTTAAGTTAAAGATCTACTAACAGGCAGAGCTGGAATCTTACCCCAGGTCTGTCTGCTCCCAGGTTGATGCTCTTTGTGCCCACCCCACCGTGCCATGTCCCAGGGTAAGGGTAGAGGCCTGTCAGGCCAGCTCCTTCTGGAGACAAAGGCACTGATCCCTCCACACACTCCCACCTACTCCCCCACTGCCCAGGGAACCTGGCCCAGAGCCAAGAGACCCAGGCAGGACCCCTCATCTCTCTTGAGCCCTTTCTGCTCCCTGGCTTCAGAAGCCCCAGAACTCACCGGTTTTCCTGGCAGGTTGAGGCCTGGAGGCCCAGGCTCCCCCTTCTTTCCGGGTGGGCCAGGCAGGGCCACCACATGGCCATCCCCATCCTGAGGCTTGGACAAGGCTGTACATGGCTCACAAGGCTCCCCCTGCCAAGTAATGACATGGGGTTAGGGGGTCCGCAGGCCCCAGTACACCGTGCACCAGCACCAGGCTCCGAATCTGGGGCTGGGGAGTGTAGCCTGGTCCTGACGGCACCTGTGGTGTGCATGGGGTATCTCGGGAGAGACTGGGGAGAACAGGTGAGGAATGAAGGCAGGGGCCAAGTCCTCGGGGATCTTGGAGTCATAAATGCCATGCAAAGAGTCAGACTTTGCCCTAGAGGCAGTGGGGAGCCTCAGAAGGTTGCAAGTACAGCAAAATGAGGGTGTGTTTAGAAAGCTCACCCTGGCTGCAGTGTGGAGAATGTCCTCAGACTTACCTTTTCCCCTTTGGTTCCTGCTGGTCCCACTGGCCCTGGTAGCCCCTACAGTGGAAGAAGCCATGTTGATGCCCAGCATCTTCCAGGCAATGCTGAGGCACAGCCCAGGTCCACTAGCTCCCCGGCAGTGGGCAGCACCTCCCTCCTTGCCCTTCTCCCCTCAGCTGTTGCCATCCAAAGAATACTCACTGGACTGCCAGCTGGCCCTGCGTCTCCAGAAGTACCCTGGGAGCAAAGCAGAGAACATAACGTCAAAGTGGGGAGGGGGTATAGGTGCCAGAGGAAACCCAAGCCCAGAACTACAAAGTAGCCCTTTGGGACCTCTAGACCACAGCCTCCTTTCCTGGCTAGAGAAACTGAGGCCCAGAGAGGGAAAGGGATTTCCACAAGGTCAGCCATTCCAGTCTGTGGAACCTAGGGGCTGGAGGCCATGTTTCTGACCTCAGCCTCACTTCACAGGATCCTAGTCCCAGCCCCATACCTGACCCAGCACACAAAGATCATTAATTCATTTATCCAACAGCTGTTCATTGGATGCCTCCCACACCCCGGGCACTAGAATACATGCTGGTTATGTAACAGTGCACAACATGGACCAAAACCCCTTGTGGACTTTATATACTTGTGGAGGACAATAAAATCTCTCTAAAAGTAATGATAACTTCAGAAATAATAACGTTAGAGAGTGGTGAGTGTTATGAAGGAAATAAACAAGGAGGATGAGATGGAGTAAGCGAGGGAGTCCATTTTAGAGAGGGTGATCAGAGGAATGTTAACCACAATTATTACCAGGAAGATGAGACTAAGATCAGCCAAAGAAAGAATAGGGGGAGGGTAGAGAGGAAAAAGGAGTCACTGGGTGACGCAGAAAGTCAGCGTGCTCAGCTGCTAACCGAAAGGTTGGTGGTTTGAGTCCACCTAGAGGTGCCTGGGAAAAAAGGCCTGGTAATCTACTTCCAAAAAATCAGCTATTGAAAACTCTGTGGAGCACAGTTCTATTCTGACACACATGGCATCGCCATGAGTCAGAATTGACTTGACAGCAACTGGTTTAGAGAGAAAAAAACATTTACAAGTACAAAATCTAAGGGGTCTTGACATATTCCAGAACGGAATGAGGGCCAGTATGGCTAAAATAAAGCAAGCAGTGGGGAGAAGAGTACAAGATGAGTTTGGAACTGTAGGCAGGGGCTAGATCATCCAGGGTCTTGTTAGGCATAGTAGGACTTTGGTACAAAGCAAGTCACAGAAGGATGTTACACAGGGAAATAAAGTCCAAGAGCTTCAGTGGAGGCAGGCAGGCCAGGGGGGAGGCAGCCGCCTACAACCAGGTGATGTGATGGGGGAGATGGAAGAAAAGGAGGGAATGGAGAGAGAGTTTGTAGGCAGAACTATCAGGACTTGCTGATGGGCTGGATGGAGGGGATGATGTGGGGAAGGGAGGAGTCAAGGGTGACGGCCCGTGTTGGATTTGAGGAACTGGGGTATGCCATTTACTGAGCTGGAGAAGACTCCAAGAAAAAGTCGGGGTTGGGGAGAGCAAAAGCTCCATTTGAGACATGACAAGAGTGATTTGCCTGTTAGAGTTGAGTCTGAACATATATTTCAGTGTTTCTCACACTTTAGTAATGTACACCCACAAAGGCCCTCATCTGAGTAACACTGCATTATAAGTTCAGTGCTGTCATTTGTCTCCAGTTCAAGCATAAATATGAATGTTAACACAGGCACTGAAATTGTGTGGCCCAGCCACCAATTACAGACTTAGTTACAGACTCTGGAGCCAGACTTCCTGGGCTCAAATCCCAGCTCTGTGCCCAAACACCTGTGTGACTTTGGGCAATTTATTTGACCGTTCTGGGTCTCTGTTTTCTCATTTGTAAAATGGGAATAATGGCATACTGACTCCATAAGGTTTTGGGAGGATGATACAAGTTAACAGATGCACAAGCACTTGGAACAGTACCCAGCACAATGTACAGGATATAGAAATGTTAAATATGATTTTATTATAAGGTGGTCTTGAATGTGCTTAATTGCGTTAGATTGTCATCTGACTGAAAATGTAACATTAAGGAATTTTCTTAGAGAATGGGAGAGCTGTCAGGAATAAGTTCTTAACTCTAGTTCTCACTGGGGTGAATTTACACATTTATTTCACTGTTGCCCCTACTTCCCAGCCACCAGCCACCCTCACCCTCTCCTCCCTGTCAAGCAACCCTGGCATCCCTGACATCTAACCCAGGTCTCACCTTCTCTCCTTTTAGCCCTGTTGGCCCTGGAGCCCCAACTTTCCCCTGAAAAACAACCTAGTCAGAGTCACAGCATTCCCCCCACTCCCACCCCTCCAATATTCCATGGGTCCCAGCGTCCACACAGGAAGAGCAAGGCACGCTCGGAACTACAAATCCCATAACCCGTGAGTAGTGGAACAGTTACTTCCCTTATGCAACTAGTAGGCACTTTGAGGTTCTAACAGAAAGTTCCGGGCTAAGTAGCCAGGGGCAATACAGGGATGGAGGGAGGGGCCAGCCTGCAGGCCTGGGACACCTGCTTCCTGGTTTCCCTCCTGGCCCCTGCCCTGAGACTCAGGGCCTGAAGAGCTAGGGAGGCCACCAGCATGGCAAGGATGGGCTGGGCTGGGAGGAAGCAGTCACTCACTGGCAGGCCAGGCAAGCCAAAGACAGGGGAGCCCACAATATCTGTGGCCTCTGCAGAGGACCTGAGTTGCTGGGCCTCCACACCTAAGCTGCAGGATGAGCAGGACTCCCCCTAGGCATGGAAGAGAAGGGATCAGAAAGGTTGCCAGGTAGTTGGAGGGGAGCAGCAAGGGGCTGGTGTTCCCTCACCTTCTCTCCTTTGATGCCTTGGATGCCAGGGTCTCCCTGCAGGGAAAAAAGTTTTGTGGGCTGGGACTGGGTATACTGGGGCACCCCAAACTTCTTGGCTGTATATGAGGATAGCAACGTCACCCATCACAACCTTTCAAACACCCAGGGGTCCCCATGGGGTTCAAGGCCAGCACCCCAGAGATATGGCACATCAACCCATGTAACAGATGGGAAAAGGGGGCCAGGGTTGAACCTCCCCAGTAGAAAGTCCCTGTACATACCCGATCACCTTTTTGTCCAACAGTTCTCAGGACCTCCTGAAAGAAAGGGTCTGTGAGGGAGTGAGTTGGGGAGTCCAGGCCAGGACTCCTGCCCCAGCCCTGCCCACTTCTTTCCCCCATCCCAAACCAATTCCCACTCCCAGATGGAGGACACAGGTTTGCTCACAATAAGAACTGGTTCCACCCCAGCTTGCCCAAAAGGCATCCTAGAGCTTCCTCAAGAGCCCTGGTAGGTTGCCATGGAGATGTGGGGTGGCCCTCTAGCCCATTCCTAGGCTCTATGGTTCAGCCCCCTCTCCCTCCCCAAGGTAAGAGCTTGGACCTTCTGCTCACAGTCTCTCTATGGTCAAGAGAAGTATCCAGTCTCTCCACCCAACTCCTCTCTATGATCATGCCCCCATTTTTTTTGTAAGAGTCCCTTGATGGTCACCATGGGTACTCACTCACCCTGGCCAGTGCAGGACTACCTGGTTCCCCTTTGGGCCCTGGCTTTCCCAGAAGCCCAACGAAGTTCTGAAACCCTTCAGGCAGCGATGGACACACTTCACAGGGGTCTCCCTAACAGGAAGGAGAGGCCATGAGTAGACAGAGTGGGGTTGATATCCTGGGGAAGGAAGGAGCCCCATGCCCACGCCAGCTGTAGACACATGTAGACAAGTGCCCTGCCCCCAACGTCAAAGTGAACAGCAAGATTGATGGAGGGACTTTCTGTTCAACTCACTCATTCACTCAATTTATGTTTCCATCACAAAACTAAATCTTCACAACAAGTGAAAAGGAATTATTGTGCTCCCATTGTACAGATAGAGAAACTTGGACTAAGAGAGAGGCTAATCGACCTGCCCACATTAATAAATCATGTGTGTGCAGAGCCAGGGTTTGAACCTGGCTATCTAACTCCCAGCCATGCCCTTTGTTTATTAATCAGACATGTTCACCACAGGAACAAAGCAGGGTGGGGGAGGGGACTGCCCTGAGGATGGTCCATTTCCCCTAGGCCCAGGTCCCCTGATGCTCAATCTCACTTCAGGGAGGATCTCCAACTCCCACCCCAACCTGGGGCAACCAGACCTGCAACTCACCTTCTCTCCCTTCAGCCCTGGCACCCCTGGTTTTCCCTGTTAAAGAAGCAGCAGTGGGCATTAGTGCCAGGACAGAGGGACCCTGGTGCATCAAGAGAGGGTTCGATGCCCCAGCCCCTCCTCCCTCCAGAGGCCTTGGCAGAGCCAACGTCGGCATGGTGGGCAGTGACCCCCCTCCCCCAACGGATTGGGTCACTCACAGGTTTCCCACCAGGACCTTCCTTTCCTGGCACTCCAGAGCTGCCCTGTAGTCAGAAGGAAAGGTTAAAGGGAGACACTCCTGGCTGACGTGACCTCAACCCATTCACCTCTTCTGCAGCATCCCAACCCCTCTCTGCCAAATCTCCCATCTCCATTGGGTCCGTTTGGTCAACAAATGCTCGCTTCCTGTTGCCACCTTCTCATGTCTAAGCCAAGCCCTTCTGGTTGCAAAGGAAGGGAGAAAATGAGGCTTTGTGTAACCCTTCCCTGGTGTAGCAGGTTGAGTGGTGGCCCCAGAGGAACCATTGCAGACAGACAGACAGACATTGCCAGGGCTTTCTGCTCAAGTCACAAGGCTCTAAAATGAGCTTGGGCCCTCCAGTTAAGATCATTCTGGTCATTACTAGAGTTAGGCTTGCCTGCCCCCATGCCTGAAGCCCCAGGCCAAGGTTCCTGCCTCAGCAAGTCCTGGGTTTAGGGCAAAGGCCACCACCAAGGGCCTGGCTGAGAAGAGCCCAACCCCCATCAGCAAATGCCTGGCCCATTCCCCAGACACACCCACTGCCCAGCTGCCCCATGTGCCTGGGCCCCTGCCTGTGCTTACCTTGTCTCCCTTAGGGCCTGGCGGACCACCTGGATCCCCCTGAAGGCAGAAACAGGGTCAAGTATTAGCTTCCCAGGGGCCTCTCACTGCAGTGAAGGTTTCCAGATCTTCTACCCTAACCCCTTCCCTCAACCGGGACCCCCAGGACAGAGCCTTATCTCCCTCACGCACAGGCCAGGGCAGAAGAGGGGTCTCTGAGGACAGGACAACAGGTAGGGCACAGGGATACTCACCGGAGTCCCAGGCAGTCCTATCCCAGGGGGTCCAGGGAGGCCAGGGGGCCCGGGTTCCCCTGCCAGCCCCTCAGGCCCAACAAAGCCAGGGTCTCCCTGACACAGACATAAGGTGGGCATAAGAGAGCTGCTGCCTCAGCCTCTCCATCCACTCTCCACCCCACAGAAACCCCAACTCACCTTCTGCCCTTTGGGCCCAATGACACAGATCTCTCCTGGCCGGCCCTGTGGGAGAGGGGTATAGGAACAGTCAAGGCCTAGCACATTTCTGAGGCATCAGCCTCTGCCAGGACAGGTAAATACACACCTCACTGCCCCTCCCCAAAGCCAGATCCCACCTCCAATACCCCAAGGTTACCCAGTGTCAACCTCAGGGCGTTAGAGGTCAGGAGGCTCTAGGCTGGGAGCTAAGAGGTCTAGGTTCAGGGTCTTTTCTGCCCCTGCCCTGCTTCGCCTCCTGGGCACAGCCCTTCCCCTCCCTGAGCCTCAGCTCTCCTGTCTGAGCAAGGGGAAGGGGCTGGGTTCCCGTGGCTGTTCTCCAGCATTTCAAGATCCCAAGCTCTCATGTTGGGGGTTGTGATTGGGAAGGTCCCCAGCAGCGTACATCTCGGCCTGGCTTCCCCGGTGTGCCCTTAATGCCTTCGTCTCCCTTCTCGCCTTTCTGGCCCTGGGGGAGAAAGAGGCAAAAGGACTGGGGTTGAGGGGAGGGACTGGAAGGACCGGGGTAGCTGCCTTCTAGACCCCTGGTCTCTGTCTCTTTGAGACTGAATGACTTCAGTCACCACGGGAGGGTAGACAACAGGAAGAACTTCCAAACCTGTCAGTTTACTCATTCGGGGAGCCTATGGCATTCCTTCTGAATCTGGGTGGGTATCTGGACAAGGCAGCAGGACAGGGAGGGATGGGGATACAGCCAACTTTGTGCCCACTGACCCCATCCTCTAGTCTCAGAAAATTAGAAACCAGGTCTCCCAGGAAGATTTTGGACAATCCCCCCTCATGGATATGGGCCCCCAGACCTCCCTGGTACCCACCCCTCCAAATCCAGGCCTACTACCTTCTGGCCTGTTGAGCCCGGGAGTCCCGAGGGTCCCTGAGACGAGGAGGGGGCACAGAAGGAATGAGGAAAAGAGGGTGAGGCTTGGTCAGGATTCTGCTGCCCCTGCCCCATCCCTGGCCCTATACTCACCAAGGCTCCTGACTCCCCCTTCTCTCCCTTTGGGCCTTCTGCACACTGAGCAGGGAGACAGGTGTTGAGAAGGGCCAAGGGCCAACCCGTGGGCTGCTGAGAGCACAGCCCCCACCTCAGGGGCCAACCCCATACTGGCCCTGAAGTAGGTGTCGCCTCCAGGTCTTACCTGAAGTGGGGCATCCGGGGAGATCTGAACACAGTCATTGCCCTGGGGGGATGGAACAGGAGATCAGGGAAGGGGTGGGGCCTCCTGGGGGAGTTACCCTAGACGTGTTTTGAGAAGGATCACTACCAGTTGCCGTTGAGTCACTCTGACTCATGGCAAGTCCATGTGTGTCAGAGTAGAACTGTGCTCCATAGGGTTTACACTGGCTAATTTTTCAGAAGTAGATCATCAGGCCTTTCTTCCAAGGCGCCTCTGTGTGGACTCAAACCTCCAGCCTTTCGGTTAGCAGGCGTGCGCATTAACCATTTGCACTACCCAGGGACTTTAAGGATAGGCCCAGGAATCCCACTGTCCCAGGTGTGCCTGGAAAATAGAGGTTTCCGCACACTAAGCCCTAGAAAGATCCTGGCCCTCATCCTGTGTTTGGGCCAGGATGCAGGCTTCCAGCTGGGAGGATGGGGTGGTGGCTCATTGTCCTACTCCACCCGCAGGCACTACTGGGAAGGGTCCTGCAGTGTGCATGGCTGAGGCACTTACCCGAGCTCCCTTCTCTCCCTTGGGGCCAGATGGACCAGGCAGGCCCCGTTCACCTTTCCCTCCCTGTGGGTGAGACAAGAACAGGCGCTAGGACCAGAGGGGACATATGGAAGCCTCAAAGAAGCTCCCTGCCCTCACTTCTGTCCCATTTCCTCCACCCACCCCAACACACACGGGCATGTAAATGTGCACACACAGGCAGTGCCCAGCCCCCACCCACCCCCCACCATGCACGTAGCATATGGATTCCATATACATTCCTACACATGCACCCCCCAATGGCTATATTTGGCAAATATACAGTCTCATAAAGAGGGTATCTCTTCTACATCCATCCCCAAGCACATAGCTCACATGCCAACACATCCAGGGGCATGTGCACACATGTGCGTGGACACACGTGGGATGGTAGAAACCCATGATGACTGTCAGCCTGCCTGCATTCACATCCTGCCTCCACCACTTGCTAGTATGTGACTTAGGGCAAGTCACACCCCCTCTCTGAGCCTCAGCTTCCTCATCAGTAAAATACAGATCACATCAGCATGTAGCTCCAGGGATTGTGGTGAGGACGAAATGTGACGCCGCATGTAAGCTCAACTCAGAGCCTGGCACACAGTAAGTGCCCTTGTGAAGAAGGTAGCTCCATCATTTTATGACACGCTCACAAGCTCAGCCTCACATTTGCACGTGGGTGCTGCCTGCCCCCTCACACACAAGTCCCGCAACCCCATCAGGCCCACAGGAATATGGGTTCACCTCCTTTTGCCCTATGGGTCACACACATGCAAAGGCGCTCATGCAAACAGTGGTCCAGAGATGCATGTAGCCACACCCACACACAACTACTCTGACACACCCAGTCACACATACGTTGTCACAGCTGGGCCTTGGTTTCCCCTGCAGTAAAACAGTACTCATCCCAGAGGGCGCTAAAGAAGGTTCAGGAAGGTAATAGATGTACCCATGTGACCCAGAGCCTGGTCACCATAGGGCCTCAGAAAAGGGCAGCTTTTAACATTGTCTTACACACACAACCCCCTGCTCTCTCCAATACACACACATACATAATCACCCTATACACAGCCATACACAGGCTCAGGTAACCATAATGCAAATATATAGTCACAGGGTCACATGCTCCAGGGAAGACCAAGGGCCATAGAAGAGAGCAGGAGTGTCCTGTTCTCTGCTTGGGACTCACCTTGGGGCCAGAGGGACCAAGGGTGACCTGAGGGGACAGAGGAGAGAGCATTATACCTAAAAGAGGGGAGAAGAAAACCAAGAGCCCAGAGGGGCCAAGCAATTTAGCCAGGGTCACACAGCATAGTGGCAGGACCAACAGCCTCAATCCCAGCCCCTGTTCTGTCTCCAAGGCCAACCAGCACACTGACTCTATTTCCTAAAGCTACAAAACTTGCAGAGGGGTCTTACCTACCTTCTTTAACCTGCCTGGATTTGACTGTCTTTGCCCCCTAAGTTACTAGGAAAATAATGGCTATTCAGTTGTTTTGGTAACCACTGCACATCTGGGGACTATCACCCTTACCAGATTTGGAGGGACTGAATGGGAAGAGGGGCAGGCAGCAGAGGGGGACATCAGAAGGCATGGTCAGGGGGCTTGGAGAGGAGGGGAGCTGGGGGTGTGTCCTGCGTGGGCCAACATGGCGTGTCGACTCGGAATGTCAGGCTGTGGGAAGGTAGTGACTCATGCCACCCACGGAAGAGGCACAGTTGGGTACCAGCTGGGCTTCCAGCGAGCCCCTCTTCCCTGCTCATTGCGGACCCCCAGAGGGAGGCTGGGCCAGGGCCAGCTGAAGCAGGGAGAAGAGGGAAGTACGCTCAGGCTTGCAGCAAACATGTGGTTTTGGGGGCCAGTGTGGGCTATGGAACCCTGAGCCAGCCCTTCCCCCTCTCTAGGCCCCCAGATGATGCACAAAGCCTTCCAAGCAGAGCAGGCCTGAGTCCTTGTGGGAGCAGGAAGCTAGGATCAGCATTAAGGTCCTGACCTTGCTTGGCCACCACCCCCCCCACCACTCCACCCTGGGTCTCAATACACGGCCCAGATCACAGAGCGTGAAGCTTCCTTTCCTGCAGCCCTTGACTTGGCGGGGCTGGAGGTGGGGGTCAAGCCCAGCTCTAGGGAACAGGCAGGGGGGTGATGTGAATGTGGACAAAGACCCTCTTGTCCTCAACCAGGAAGCTGCCACCCAACCTGCACCACGCCCACTCCCAGCCTTGCCTGCCCAGATGCCCAAGCCCCACCCACCCTGCACACCCTCCATTCACTCACGTTGCTCTCCTGGGCACCATGGACACAGGGTGGGCACTGACAGGGAAGATCAAAGCCAGAAGGTCAATTCTGAGCCCCAAGGATCAGCCCCTCCCTGTCCTCATGTCCCCCAAGCCCACAGAACATCACACGTGCTCTGGGTAGAGTCTCAGGCCAACATGAAGACAGGAATCCTTGCCCTCCAACTCCCACCAATCCAGGACCCAGAGCCATTTTTCAGATGAGGAAACTGAAGCCAGATGAGGCCCATAAGCCAGGGTTCTGTGTCCGAGGCCTGGGCTCTCCCCGTGATGCTTGTGGCCGTTTGCCATCAACTCAGCAGAGGTGTCCAGGGCTACCCCCTCTCCAAAGAGAGACAGCAGGCAGACAGGGCCCAGTGTCAGGCTCCCAAGGAAGACTGGGAGCTGTGTAGTCAACCAGCCACCCCCCATACTCAGGTCCCAGTGCCCTAGAGCCTTGTCGAAAATGTTCATGCTGGCACCTCCTCAACCAAGACCTTTTTGACAGTTCAGATGAGGACTTACCTGATCAGCTGCTGTCCCCTGATGGGCCTGGGAAGAAGGAGGGCAGGAATAGGCAGGAAAGTCAGAGGGTCAAACACTGCTTCCAACACCCTTACCGAGAACCACTAGGGGCGTGTGCTTTAAATAGTGCCAGGGTGCTGTCTGACCTGCACCTACTCATCCTTCTTTCTCAGAGCTGGTGCCTACATACCCTAAGCTCTGCCCAGGAGTACAGGAAGGTAGGAGTAGAGTGCCTTATCCAAGGGGCTTACAGAGGGCAGAGGAGGCAGAGCAAGGGCTCCTTCTTGCTTCTACCATCTCTACCTTTGTTCCCCTTTCTGTCTTCTGACTGATTCTTCCCAACAGCTGAGCATCCACCTGGTAAGACAGAGCAGAGGGGAGCCCTTGAGAAGGGGGATGTTCTGGGGCCCGTGCTGGAAAGGGCACCCAGGCAGAAAGCAGGGACCCGAGAACTCCCTCAGCCTGACATCTGGAGCCTCCCAGTGCACCAAGGGCCTGCTCAGGCCCCTGGGGCCTCCCCCACAGACCCCCCTCCCTCTTCTTCCTTACCCCCCTTCCTCTTCCCCCCCTCCACGTGATGTCGGAGAAAACAAGGCATGAATCAATGGGATCTTGTGTTCCTGTAGCCAAAGACTGGGCATGATGCCCAAGTAGGCAGGGAGACTGCCCAGGCTGGGGTGGGGCTAAGGAAGGACTGGGTTTCCTTGCCACCCTCACAGAGCCTGGGCATGGGCAGGGCAGCTGGCCATGGTGCTGGGCTTAGAACTAGCCTGGCATTGGTCAGGGCTGGGCCCAGGAGAATGAGCAGGCCCTGGGGGAAGCAGTGTGGCCTGGCCTCTGACCCCAAGTATCCCTGTCTTGGAGGAACTGCTTTTGGGTGCAAGCTTGTTCCTACCCTCACCAGATGGGTCTGGGGTGGCAAAGGTAGGTGGGCATAACTCTCAATGCCAACAGGCAGGCAGGCACAGGGTCACCCAGTGGGCTCTCCCAGCCTCCCTGAATCCTATAGGGGTGGTATGCAAACAGGCAAGGCTCCCAGTGCCCTTCCTGCCCTGGCCACATGGATGGCAGGGCTCAGTCAGATCAGAAGAGAGCAGTCTCGCTTATGCTTGCCTGTGCCCATGTCTGCCAGCCCCGCCCACCCACCTTGGTGTTTTGTGGCTCCTCCAGGCAGAAGCAGCGGGTGTAGACCTTGCCCTCAGTCTGTGGATTGATCTCGATGAGCTCATTGGTCTGGGTGTCCCGGCGGGCCTTGGAAGTCCCTGGAGGGCACTGCCCAGTGTGCGACAGGGGCTGGGTCAGTACAGAAGGCAGACACCCCCTCACCCACTCATGCTAAAATCTCAAGGCTTCCCCTTCTTGGCCCCCCATCTCCAGCACACCATGCCCCTGGGCAATGCCCCCCAGCTGTGCCGGGGTCAGATCACTCACCCCTCCTGGTGAAATCTCACAGCAGCCCTCCTCCAGGGCAAGCTCTGGGTCACAGTAGATGTGCGCCTGCTGAAGGTCAAACTGCGGGGCACGTGCAAGTTAGTTTCATTTCATTTTATCAAATAGCTCTGTGCCCAGGGACCCAGTGAAGCACAGAGATGACTCCGCCCCAGGTTTGACCTTAGGGGGTTTCCAGTCTGGCCTGGGAGACAATAAAGCATACAACTATCTTGGAACCTGGGTAACGCAAGTGGTTTGTGACTGGCTGCTAACCCAACGGTAGGTGGTTCGAACCCACCCAGCAGCTCTGCAGAAGAAAGGCCTAGCTAACTGCTCCTGTAAAGATGACAGTCAGGAAAACCCTATGGAGCAAGCTGAGTTCTACTCTGTAACACACGGGGTCATCATGAGTTGGGGGCTCACTCAACAGCTGCTACCAACAAGAAGATGGCTTAGTGGGACAGCTCCGCTGAAACAAAAATACAGCTATCACCAAAGGCAGAACGAAATTGCACATGCGGGAAAGGACAGAAGGGAAAACTGTTCACTTTGGCCAATGGCAACGAGAAGGAGGAGCTTCCATTCAAGCTGAGCAATGAAGGAATGCAAAGAAAGACATCCCCAGTGGAGGTGACAACATAGGCAAAGGCATGAAGGTGTGAGAGTGCTAGATGAGCCAGATGAACAGGATAGATTGACCAGGGCAGAGCTGCATGGAGAGTTGTAAAGGAAGATGCTGCTGTAGACATTTAGAGGGACCAGATCACAAAGGGCCTTGAATGCCAGATTAATACATTTAGGCTGCATCTGGAGAGCAATGGGGAGCCACAGAGGATTCTGGTCAGAAATGGACTCCAGGGAACTCACTCAGACTGCCAGAAGGTGGACGCCAAGGCCAGGGACAATCTAGTACTCACCGAGACAGGCTTGCCCTGTTCAGCATCCAGGCCCAGAAATACATGGCCCACAGGCTGCATGGGTGACCGGGGCCCCAGGGGCTGGAAGGAGGCCGAGGTGCAGTCCACATGCACAGAGGCCACGCGTCCAGCCACGCTCAGCACCAGCTTGTGCCAGCGCAGGTCAAAGAGCTGGGGCACTGGGAAAATGCAGGACACAAAGTCGCCATCTTGGCCCTGGGCCCGGAGCTCCAGGCTCCGCTCTTGGCTGTTGACTTCTAGGGAAATCTGTGTGGAATCGGGAAAGGGGGTAGGACAGAGAATCAGAACCCCTAAGCCACTGCATAGCAAAGCCAAGGCCCCTCAAACTCATTTCACAGGAGGGGAAACTGAGGCCCAGACAGGGAAAAAAGGTGGCTGGGGTCACAGAGCAGTACATACTGAAAGAATGGGACCGTTACTGGGAGTGGACTTGAGGGCAGGCACCGGGCTGGAGCGGGGAGGTTCCAGCAATCACAAGCTGAGATGGAGGTTGGGCTGGACTGGTATTGCCTGATGCCCCAAGAGGCAAAGGGTCTGAGGGGTGGGGGTGGGGCCCAGTGGGCTCACCTGTGGGTACCCAACTCCATCAGTCACTTGAAACAAATACCACGTGTTCTGGTGGGTGTGTCTCTTCAGCAATAGTGTCAGCACCAAGGCAAACTCATCCGGGAGGCCCCGAGGGAATACTTGCCTAGGGGTAGAGCAGAGAGGATGCCCTGAGGCTCAGGTGAGGGCCCAACTGGTGCTCACCTGGGTCCTCAGGTCTGTTGAGTCTACAAGAGACACACGCAGGTGCACACGTGCTGATACACACACATACACGCCTTCATTCTACACACATGTGTTGAATGCTGACTGTGTACCAGGCATGGGTCTGGCCCCTGGGGACACAGTGGTAAAAGACAGAGAAGGTGCAGCCCCCATGAAGCCTTCGGTCTGATGAGGGGGACAGACCATAAGTAAAGAATCCCCAGAATGACTGCTTCATGACCATTGTGGTAAGCGGTCCATGTGCCCTGGGGAGAGTAACAGGGGCCTGGGATGTAGGGGGAAGTGTCCTGGAGGAAATGATCTTTCCTGAGCCACGTGCTCTTTCGGTCACTCTCGTAAAGAGAGTAAATGAGGGAAAGGTGAGCCTTCCTGGAAGAGGGAACAGCAAGGTGAGCTCTCCTCCTGTGGGTGGGAAGGTGCTGAAACATAATGGAGAGGGTTCAGCATGACTAGGCCAGCAAGAAAGGAAAGGGAATATTTTGCAAGTTGAGGCTGGGGAGTTTAGCAGGGGCCAGACCACCCAGGGACTTGTGGGAGTTTGGACTTCACACATATGGGCACACACACAAATGCATACACACACACGCACACACTCAGGCACACATGACTCTTGTCAGGTTCCCACCATGAGCCTGGGGTTCTCACAAGAGATAGGGAAGGGAAGGAGGGCAAGTCTGCCAACACCCCCTTTCTGCCCACCCTGCAAGCCCCAGGGGTAGAGGGCAGGTTGACGTGTGACAGTGGGAGGGATAAAATGACCCACAGAAGGGCTCCTGAGCTTAGACCCCACATCCAAAGTTTCTGGGGAGTGTGGATGAGGTTGGTATTGACCCCCAGTGGTTATGCTGGGGTCTTTACCGCAAGGGCTGGGTCAGTGGGGCTGCCCCCAGCCTCAGGACGAGAGGCCCTTTGGGGTTGCGGATCTTCTTGATGGCAGACATCTTCATGAGGTTGAGTCGGCGGATGAGGTTGAAGCCTTCAGAGGAGACACCAGATGGAGAGCTCAGCTGGGCAGTGTGGAGGGGCACAGGCCACACCAGAAAGAGGGCAGAGAGGGGACAGCGGCTTGAGGCAGGCACTTACCTGTCACGTTGGATGATAAGTCGCTGCTATGTTCCAATTTGAGCCCTTCTTGCTGTGAAGGTGGGCACTGCTCGCCTGGAAGAGAATTGGCAGGGGGCATCAGGTGGGCCCAGGTTGAAGTAGCTGCATAGCCAGACTCTTAGGGAACCTGAGAAAGAGCAAGTTTATAGTCCCCATTCTGGACCTTCAGCCAAGCCTCGCCTTGGAGCTGCTTACACCACTTGCTTTCTGACCCTGGCTACTGAAGCAGCCAGGAGGAACCCCATCATACAGATGAGAATACTGAGGCCCCCAGACTGAGGTCTGGCCGAAGGCTACCAGGTGAGTCTACAGCAGAGCAGGACCAGAACTCCTGGAACCCCAGTCCCCCAAGAACCCAAGTCAGGGGCCAGGCAAGCAAGAGAGAGAATGACAGAGCTCTGGGCAGCCCTAGAGCTCAGATAGGGCGGGAAGCTGTTACATACTGTGCTCCTTCCACGGACACACACCCAGGTGCAGGCAGAGGAGTACTTTAAGAGCAAGAAAACATCAGGTTCGTGTGCGGTTGTGTTACATACAGTTACATGGGCATGTCTGCACATGTGTGAGTTATAGATGCCCATGCCACCAGAAATGCCATGTGCAGCTGGTACGTGTGTTCTCAGTGGTGGGTGGGGCTCAACTTCCCACATCTAGAGCAGACAAGCAGGACAGACACAAGTCTGAGCCAACAGAATGACTTTTCACCTGGATAGCTACCTTGTAAAGCAGTGAGAAGAGACTGAGGGCCTGAGAGGACAACAAACTCAAAGGAACCACCAGGGCCTTGGGGCTCTCTCAAGGACTCCTGGAGAAGGGGATAGTTTAATTCAGCTCTCTAAAGCCCTGAAGGGACAGGGGGCCATCAGGGACTTGCCTCCCCTCTGGGGCTGACTGAATGTAAGTGTGGGGATAGGTGCTATAACAGGAGGAATAGGGGCTAGATCCATAAAGGCCTTCCCATCAATGTAGATAGGGTAGCTGGGACAAGACAATGAAGACAGCTTCTAGAAGCTGGGCACTGGACTCCCTGGCTGGCCTGGGAGGAAGGAAGAACCCTGGGTCCGTGGGCCCAGTGACCCCACTGGAGTCCCCCCACCCCCAGATCTAGCCAGAAAGACCATCGCTGTCTTCAGCATCGGCAGCAGCAAAGGGTGACTCACCCCTTGGCCATGGGCCCAGATTCCTTACAGATGTTGAAATTCTCTGCCCCAGCCCCCACCAGGGGACATGATGAAGGAGAGGAAAGCAACGCGCGCACGCACGCGCGCGCACACACACACACACACACACATGCGTATACACACGCAGGCAGTCACATGTACCCTGGGCGCACACTCCCTCTCATCTGCACCTTGGCTTCCCTGCCTCCTGCAGCTGGATTTGGGTTCTAGGAGTTCTGTTCCTGTTCAGCTGGATGGCTGAGCTACCGAGCTGCCCAAAGGGTGCCCACCAGGACTGGGAAAAGTGCCCAGCCAACTTCCCCTGGCTTTGGGCCCTGGAAAACTGCACCCTCTTTCTCATCCAGAGTCTGGGCCCTGGGGCGGGTCCTTTTTTTGAAATTTAGGGCCAGACGCGGAGGAGGAGCAGCCCGTGGGCTGGAGGATGGATTTTTCACTGCAAAAAGGATTGGCGGGGCCTGGGCCTCATTCAGGATGCAACTTCCTTCTGCAGGGAGAGCTCATTGCCTGCCCCTTCCCACCCTACTGGTCCTGCTAGCACTCCGTCCACAGGCTGGGTGTATGTATTAAGGTGGGGTGGGGGCTGTTCTCTCACACACAGAGACACAGGGATACATACGGATGCACAGAGAGACACTGAGATACATACACAGAGACACTCAGAGACATACAGACACGCACAGACAGAAACACGCACACACTGTAGCTTACCCTTGCATAGGCTTGCATATTCCAACACCCCAGGCCACCCTGACTCTCCCACAAATGCTCAGATGACCCAAACGCAGGGTCACATAAGTGCACAGGACCCTGGGACCTCAAGGAGCCAGTCACAGGCCTATGGCACGCTAACCCTCCTGTGTCATCTCACCTGTATGTGCCCCATGGCTGCAGGTGGCCCAGAGACCGAGCAGCCACAGGCCGGCAGCCCAAGATGCCCACATCCTGGTCCAGAGGGGTCAGCCACAGCTGCAGCACCTGAAAACCACAGAGGCTGGGAGGTGGATTCATGAGCTCACCCATGGGCAAGAAGTGGCCAGCTCACAGGACCCGGGCACGGGTTTTGGGTGGCAGGAGTTCTGGCCACGTGTCTAGTCCCTCTCAGGGGCCCATCCACGGCCCTTGGGCTAGGGTTTGGGCATAGGTGATATTCAAAATATTTAACCACTGGTATGGCACAGACACACACCAGCCAGAGCAGACTGCTGGCAGGAGCACTGACACAGGGTCCAGGCGGCACGTGGCTGTGCCAGTGGATAATTGCTAGATGGTGGAGAGGTTTTGAGGGTCCTGGAAGGCCAGGGCAGTTGGAATAGTGAGGGGGCCTTGAGGCAGAGGCTGTTTACCAAGACGTCTGGAAATACTTTAACAACCTGTGCATGGTACTGGTATATACCAGCCTGGTACCTGGCCAGCTGCACCCAGCTCAGCTCAGGCTGCCCTGCCAGGCACCCACAAGGTCAGGGGATGCCAACCTGGTGACTCTCTTGGCAGGCATCACAGGGTTGTGTATGGGCCAGGGAAGCTTTGCCATAGGTACAGTGGGCAAGAGAGCAGGTCACAGGGCTCAAGACCTCATTGCCAGCCTCTCCTGCTGATGGATGCTCGTCTTTTAGTTTTATTAAACCCTGATGGATGGGCCCAGATAAATCAATGCGGGCTCAGCAAGCGGCCAACAGAGTCATACATCATCCGGCCTCCCCTGGGACAGTCAACTCGATGCGATCCTCACACACAGAGCCATGCACATGTCCATAAGACACACACAGATACATAGGCATATATACACACAGACACATATATGCCAGTGTGTGCATGTGGGCATGTTCCAACACACAGAGATGCATGCACACCAATATACATGAACACATCAGCTTACACATGGATACGGCCAGCCTACATCCACCCCACCTGTAGGCCTTCCTGTCGGGAAGTTCTTAAGCAAGCCTGACCTCATTCCCTCCAGCTATAATGGAATCCTATTTCCCCTCCCTCAGTCCTGGATAGGGAATGAGGACAGAAAGGACCCCACATCCCAATATATTCAGAGACAGGACTCCAGTCCCCTCCTCTTTGGGGGAGAACTGGGCCCCCTTTGCTACTCACTCCCCATTCTAGCAATGTGCACATCCCATCTCTCAAACCCTGTTCTGGCCTCCCCCTTCTGCCAGCCAATGGAAGGGCTGCCAGCTATGGAAGGCATGTGGATGCATGTGGAGGCGTGAACATGGATGTGCTGGGTTGTCCCCTTCTGACTTCCAGGCCCCAGCCAGGGTCAAGGACTACAGGGATAGAGGAAGAGAAGCCCCCCAGGAGATGATCATTCCAACACAGAGGCACAGAGAGATTTGGAGGCAGGGAGAGTCAGAACCAGATGGAGCTTAGAGCTCATCCCACTATGGAGGAGGCGACTGAGGCCCAGAAAGGGGAAACCACTTGCCCCAGGTCACACAGCAAGCCAGGGGCAAAGGGGGCCCTGCAGCCCAGAGCCCCGGGGGCAGCCCACGCCACCCCCACTTACCGGTGGCCGGGGATCCCCCCACCTTACTGAGCAATCCAGGCAGCCCAGAGCACGCCAGCCAGGGGAGGCTGGGCCCGGATTCCTCACACTCTCCCGGCGTCTTCGATTTCTCCCGGCCGCGGGTTCCCAACTTCCCGCGGTCGCAGAGTTCCCCGGCCGAGGGCTGCCGGCGCACTCCTGCCTGGGACTGCCCGCCACGCTGGGTGGGGGAGAGGGGGCGGTTCCAGGAGACTGGGGGGCCTGCCAGGACCGCTAATGGAACACAGCTGGACCGGCCCGCTAGGCAGGCAGGGCAGGCGGGCCGGCCGGGAGGAGGCTCCAGAGGCTGCGGCGGCGGAGGAAGAGGCGGCGGGACGCGCAGCCCCGTTCCGCGATGCTCCCGGGCCCGCCCCTCCCACTTCCCCGCCAGGTGAGCGAGCGAGCAAGCACGGCGGGACCCTGCGTGCCCAGACTTGCCCTGGGAGGGGGCTCCCGCGGACAGGCAGGCGGGGAAGCCCGGGCCAGGCCTGGAATTGAAGGGCCTCCCCTGTGCCACCCTTTCACCTCCCCTGGCCAGGCCCCCCAGAAGGCTGGGAGGGTGGAGACCCTCCTCCCCAGTTCCGTGGCACCCGTGACGTGGCTGCCTCCCAAAGCTCCGTGGTCAGCTTTTTCCAGCCTCAGCCTAACATTCCCAGTCAGTCTGTCCCTCTGTCAGTCTGCACTGGCAGAGGGAGGGCATTAAGGAGCTGGGGGTGGGGGGTGGGGTGGGGGGGAGAGTGCTAAGTTAACCCCTTCCTTTCTGGCCTCAGTCCCAGAGAAGTAGAACTGAATGAGTCCCCTTATTCCTCCTTCCTGCATGAGGTTAAACCAAAACCAACCCAGACTCTACAGGACAGGGTTGAACTGCCCCATAGGGTTTCCAAAGCTGTAAATCTTTATGGAAGCAGACTGCCACATCTTTCTCCCACTGAGTGGCTGGTGGGTTTGAACCACCAACCTTTTGGTTAGCAACAAAATGCTTAACCACTGCACCACCAGGGCTCCTTCTCCATGAGGTTAGAAGGGTTTGAAGCCCTGTCCATCACTCTAGTTTTGTAGCTAAGAACTTATTATTTAATTATGCCTCCATTTTTTATCTGTAAAATGGGATAATGATAATACATACCTCAGAGTTGCTGTGAGCAGGAAATGAGTTAAAGTCTATAAAAGGGCTTAGCATAGGTCTGGCACATAGGAGGAGCTCAATAAATATTCCCTGTTATTATCATTATTATTGCCATCCCTAGTGGAGGGGGATCTGCAGTCTGGGATTCAAGCTTATACGTCAGTGATGGGAAGGGGGTCACTTTATATGCAGGGTCCAAAGAAGTGAGGAATTGAGTTTGGATGAGAGATTTGACTTCTGAGGAGAAGAGAGATGACATTTCTAGTTCTGCCAGAGGCTGGGAGATGATCAGTCTCTCACAAAGGTCTCCCCTTGTGAGGTGGCAAACAGACTTCTGGGGCACCAATACTGAGAAGCCATGGAGAAGTAGGTTCAAGAGTCCCATGAGCGGTACGAATGGGTGTGGGGACTGAGGGGGGAGCAACTGGGGTGTTCTAAAGCAGGGGGGCGGGGGGAGGAGTCTTCCAGAGGCAACATGGTCTAGCGGTAGCCCTATGGCCCCATCTAACCCAGGCTGGGATGGGGGAAGGCTTGGGATTTCCCGCCTCCAGGCCCAGCCAGAGGCACTGAGTCAGCGGAAACCCTGACCATGCCACGGAGGCGCCCCAAAGTGGTCCCTGCTCGGAGCCTAGCCCAGATGTGGTGGTGGTGCCTGGGAAGCGCTTAGCTCAGCAGGCGGAAAGTGGAAGGGCAGGGCTTTGTGGCTGCTCTGGCCTGAGGAGTGAGTAGGCACAGGCCAGCTCTTCCCAGGGGGTGCCACTCCAGTGGTGGGTACTTGGGAAATAATAGGAAACACTTATAGGGCAGGCTTTGTTCTAAGAACTTCACATATGTTAACTCCTTTAACCCTCACAACCCTATGAGGCAGAATTCTATTCTTTGCCCCATTTTACAGATGGGGAAACGTGGAGCAGAGGAACCTTACAACTTGCTCAAGATCACACAGCTAGTTGGTGTGGAGCTGGGACTCACACCCAGTGAGGCTGGAGTCACAGTACGAGCTTGTAACCACTGTGCCATCCTGGGCAACTCCCAGCCTCACCCCATTTTTGTCCCAGACCTGGGTTCTCCCAGGCAGGAGGGGATGGCTGGGCCTGAGCTGCCAGAGCCAGGGATGGAGGAACATGAGCAGGAGGAGTCCAGATGTCTTCCCACAGCACCCCAATGATGCTCACAAGAACAGCCATGCCCAGGGCATTCCCTACACCTGGATACGCTATTATCGTAGACATAGTATAGAAATGTGCTAATGTCCCTTCCTCTCTCCGACACCTATGTGCACACACACATGCAGTCAGATATGCTCTCTCACAATACGTGTGGGCAGACTCCACATGCATATGTAGACATTTATGTTCACACAGACACACCTGACCCCGGAAACGTTTACACAGACACATGCACACACACAATACATATCCACGTAAACAGGTACACAGAGCCACATACATGAGCACAGACGAATCCACATAAGCAGACAAATATATCCCTGGATATACCCAGGCACAGAGAGGTGCATAATTCTCAGAATGCACCCATACAACACTTCATGTACTTGGATATGCACATACAGACACATGCATGCACACGTATACGTAGAAACACATGGGTACCTGCAGATATTATTATTAATATATGCAAGCACAGAGAAATCTGTAGACCTACAGCACATGCACATATGTGCACACAGACACAAGTGGCCACACAGACTCAGCCCCCATCCACAGAAGCATCCACTCAGGTATGCACATGCTGACACACATACCAATATACAAGCATGCAGCTATGCTGACATATTTACATGCATTCGGCCCCAGAAAACTCTGCATACCAGCAAGCAGAGTATCCCATGGGGCTGGGCTCAGTGCCCTCACCCCAGATGGCATCACCACGAGGTAATCAACTCTGCTAATCACCACCAGCTGCCCTGGAGCCTGCCTACCATTGCCAGGCAGGGCTGCCAAGGCCTCCTGGGTCTGGGGTAGTAAGCCCAGATGTCAGGTAGTGCCCCAGGGCTCATCCACCCCACTGCCCCAGCTGCCCACTGGGGAATCCCCATCTGGCAGGAGCAGTACCTCGGGCTGGGAGATGGTGCAGAGCCAGGGATAAGGTCTGGTTCCAGGACAGGCCCAGGAGCCCCATGCAGCCAAGCAGAGGTAGTCTGAATGTCATAGCCTAGCGCAGTGGACCTGGGACTCCGCACGCACAGGGGCCTAGCATGTGTGCACACAGGTACAAGCGCGCGCACACACACACACGCACACACACAGGCTTATCAT